GACTATGGCAAAGCAAAAAGAAAGGGTAATGATTTCAGCAGTTTATTAATATATATATATATATATATATATATATATATATATATATATATATATATGTTTATATTTACGTGTGTTCCACCATAGCCCCACAGATTATATAACTAATGCCCCAACTAAGGAAACAAGTTCGTTTGAGATATCTAAATGTGATAGTGTCGGGCATTTAACACTTGTAAGAAATAAATTTGATCCCTGTATGTACGTGAGATTGTTTCGCAATATTTTCTCTAGATGCCATTTATAGATGCTTCTTTCGAGAATTTCTTCACTCTAAAAATGTTTGTCTTGGGGCACAAAGACCATGCAGTCGTATCAGTTCTTAGGCACTTTGAATGAATGCATATTTGTAAATGGCATTTGTATATTATGTACCTGCATGTATCTTTAAATAAGTAATAGTTACGTACATAACGATTGCAAAAGCCTTTTGACATTGGACAATCACTTTTCCCCCGCAATTTTATTGTCACTGCCGGAAGTGTCGTCATCTCCAGAAGCTTGATTTATTAATAACCCGTTGTTTTACTCTAGCCAATACTTAAAAAAAACTATAACCCGACTACGAAAAAAAACCAATGATCCAAAAAGTACGAAACAAGTACGTATATTTATAATGTTGAAATCAAGACGTTGAAAAAAAAAGACATGATATATAGCGAAGATTGCATGCATTTTGTTGGTGATCCTGGCGTCTAGTACGCTGTGCAGCATACATGGGTTTTCTTATGATCCTTACACTCATTAACCATCCTAGACGTCCCAGTATCATTTTATTGCGGACAATTGAAATGTCGGATTGTGATTTCTGTCGTAGATCATCCACAAGAGGTATCAGCTAAGTTAGATAGTAGCCGTGAATTGAGTGAAAGAAAAAGGAAAATACCTAATTGCGTTTCATGTGTATATTTATTTCAGTTTCAGATCAAAAACTATTTTGTTTGTCTCGAATGTTTGTAAGGTTTGTTAACAAGCGGACTGTAACCGACAATTTCACTATAAGAGTTTATTAATACCTATCTTCTATAAGAACACTCCTTTTTATGCTAATTACTATACTAACTCTAATAAAATTACAGAGTTCGAGTTGGTAGGTATTGTATGGAAAAAGGTCTGTTTTCATTAGACCAAGTCATGGGTCTACCTACCACAGTCTATTAACGATGTGTTATCAACAAATGCAGTACTTTAAACGCATTAGACTTCAGTAATAGTAAAGCTCTGTAAAAAAATAGAAAGATCGGTTTGAAACAGAAACAAATACTTTAAACTACGACGTAGTAAATTGATTTAAAATTAATTAATCTGAGAAATAATGGGATAATCTAACAATAGATTCATTGTAAATTGTTGGTGTATGCCCATTTTACTTCATTTTGTCTCCCGCTTTGCTAAGGAGGGAAGTGGATTTACTGTATTTCCAACTCCTCCAATTTTCTTCTGATTAATTTCGTTGCGGGTTCCAAGACAGTTTAATTTCTTCCTGGGACTTCCCGAGTGTCATAACTCGGTGTGTTCGTGGGTCACTGCCGTGGATCCTGGTGTACAGGAGTTACAGTGGTGGGCGTGTGGGCGGGATTAGTCCCATTAAAAAAAAAATAGATTCATTAAAACATTATACTCAGCACACAATCAGATATTAAGTAATTTTGGAGTGTTTACTTTATGAATAAATCACTTCTTATAAAAACATCTTGGAACCTGTATTCCACCCAAACTTACAAGACGTACTTACGTCATGATTATTATATAAGATTAAATTTTCCGTCCTTTTTTGTTGATGTTGCTTTCTTGGAGGACTCTACTAGTGTACAGAGTTAACGTAAAAAGGGAAATATAAAAAAAAATACATAAGCTTGGGATGACAGAAATAACATGAGACATTGTTTTACTTTTAAGAATTTATTAAAGCCAGGAACACAAGTGTTAATAGTACGTACAACTTAAATATGATTTTGTAAATATATTCAGATCGATACACAGAATAATATGCACAATTAAATGTTGGCAGTAATAGGACATCGATATAAACACTAAAGTTTTATTATATTATTCAATGGCTCGAATACCGTTGCAGAACTTCACTCATACCCAGCCAACGAAATATTGGCAGATAAATTGATGTCCAAGTAGTGGAAAAATAAATTTTCTTGTGAAGCTGCGACACTTTCTATATGATATCATAATTCTGAAATATGTTACATCTTCACATCTGCTATGAAATTTAATATCGGGAAACGGTTTTTATTAAAAGTTCAATATATATAAGAAAATGTAAATCTTGGGTTACAAGACTCTTATCGTGAGCAATAAATTCCAAAATATATAGGTTATTTCCAATGTTAAATATGTCCTTGCACCCATAGCCTATTTTAATTAATTGACTTTTGAAATGGTCTTGATTTACCAAAAGATAAACATGTCAAAATTTCAAGTCCATATTCAAAAATATTTATATAAAATAAAATTTTGTAGATTAGCAAGGTTGCAAATTCATTAAATATTGGCATCTCAACAAGATCTTTGATAGTTTTAAAAATTTAAAATCTTACGTAGACGATAAAAGCTCAGCGATATGGTTAGGGTAGCACTGGATATGAAATTACGAGGATCCAATAATGTGCAACGGAATATCCATCAATCACAATTTAACTACACGGTGTTTATACGTAATAGGTGCACAGAGGTGAGGGAGGTTCACGTTTACAACATCGTCCTATGGTTTTCTTATTTTAAATATTATGTTATTTTACGGTCACACATAAATTTAAAATGAATATGGTTACAGAATTAAATCTAATGCGTCCAACCGGTACCGAACGGCGTTAGAGAGTACACTGATTAGGCGCTTTTATAACTTTTGTAGATACTGCAGCACGACACGGTCAATCACGAACCAATCCATTTAATGGTACATTTTATAACTACGAAAATCAGTTCCCTTTCACCGACTTCACTGAAGAGCTACCGTAGTTTATGTCTGTTTCTATACTATTACAGTGTTCTTCAAAGTGCAGTGTATAGCAACAGCAAATTACTGAAGCCACTGTGATTGCAGCGATATATTTAAGCATTTAAGCAAAATTCCGAAAATTGCAACATCTGCAGTAGTGTAGAAGACTGCCATCGTATAAGATACTTGTGTCGTACACTGAGCTATAAAAACGCCCATCTCTTTTTTATCCTGCCAATTCATACTTAGATTGAGCCTTTGAGTGGCTACACGCAATTCAAACCTTGGTTGGATACGTCACCCCACATGACACGTAATTAAAACATTTCTGCCACTCCATCCCGTTACCGACACACAAACAATTCTCTTCTCCAAATACAAATTTAATTCATATAATCTCTTTACACTAATCGTTACATGTATAAAGTAGGTATATAATATTCATTTGCTAATTTAAACATCAATACATTATCTATTACAATTAATATATTTGTATACACGGTGTACATGTATTATGTCACGTATAGTTACAAAATATATCTTCATACAATAATTAACTCTAACGATGAAAAATCAGTCGTCAAGACAATGGGTTTTACACAATAAATAATATATAATCATTATGTAGAAGTATCTACTTGTAGATGTGACGGTCGTTAATACAAAAGCTCGTTTCATATGCGTAAAATTGTATCAAAGTTTTGTACACAATATGATGTAAAAATGTATGAATAACCGTAGCAATCATCAAGCAAATGTGGCTGGTAGCAAAATTGTTTTTTATATTTTAGATTAAATAAATTATTCGAAGTTAAAATGAAGTGAATAAAAATATACACAGTTGTATTATTATTGAACCACATCCATATCCACAATTTCGTGGAGTACCATACCTTAGCGACTTAGTTGTTGAAACAGTACGAGATTTCCTACTTTCTATTCTATTTAATAGATGGTGTCAGTTTATAATGAAACTCGATCGAAAAAACGGTAGATATTGTGTTATTGGACGCCATGGATATTTTTGCAAACTACTTTCTCATCCGTCCATCCATGGATTACTCTGCAACGCACAATTTTATCTTACTAAGAAACAAATAAAAAATGGTTTCTTTCTTGATGAAATTTAAAATGATCAATGAAAGAAGCATTTATCATTGGAAATGTATGTCTATAATATATCATCAACAAAATCAAATTTATATACTATTTTTCTATTTGTATTACCACAACGACTAATATGATATAATTAAATGTTTGGTAAGGGAAGACTATATTGATGATATAAGGGATTTGGTGGTATAAAAAAAAAGTTTACGAGTATTTACTAAACGCAGGAACCATGGACTAAAGCGTACGCGTAGCGTTGTTAATAAAAAGTCCCTGTTTTTGTACCTGTATTTTAGTCTTCCTGGAAAGACATATTAAATCATTTACATCACCACTATTCCTTCCTTGAACCAATATGTTGACAAAGCTACTGTATTAAAACTGCTAACATCATATATGATATATTTTATTAGGAAATGTACAGAACAGTGAAATATTTAAAAAAGGGTTGGCTGGTGGATAGTTAAGACAGTAGCGTGAGTAGTGTGTATGAAATTGTTAACAACGAGCCTTAAAGTACTTGGTCGGGAACTTCTAATAGAGACTAACGACTAAGGACATAAGCTCCAAGGGTGCGTACTAACTCTATACACATATAATGATTTGCAATTACACGTAAACGATATTTTTGCATACATATATAGTTTTCTCTCTTGAGTAGAAGAAATACAGTCTTTATAGTATTCACATTTATTATAATACTGATAACATCAATACATTTTATAATAATATATAGTAATAAATCATAATCAATAAAATGTACTCAATAACTAAATTTGGGGTTCAAATCGAATTCCTTTATGTAAAATATTTGTAAATATTGTCGACATTTTAATGGACGTTGTGCGTAAATAGAAAAAAAAACAACAAAAAACAATTTAAAACAGACGTAAACATCTTACTGATCAGCAAATCTTAACTTTTGTTTCTTGACGAAGTCATTAGCCAGTTTATCAGTAGTGCGTGACTCCAGTATTTGTAGAATCGGGTGACCTATATGAAAAATATTCCATCTTGAAAATCACACCATTTCATAACAATCATATTGAAAGTAATTCTTAAATCTCGTGTTACTACTAATCTAAAATCTTCAATATGGTTTGCAGCTATGTTATTGTCTAGAAACAATAAATATGATTACTACAGACATATAGATTTACCCTTCTGTAGAAATATGATTTTATGATGAAGAGTTGCAAGCAATAATAAATATTAATAGTGTATAAGTAAGTGTAAGTAATAAAATCTTTGGTACAGTTTTATAACTTTAAAATTGTATTGAAACCACTATTACAAGAAGTATTGTGAAGATAAACAATTGCATATTAACATCGTCATTTAAGTGAATTTAAATTTTAGGAACCGAAGTCAAATCGCCCCTTATCACTAGCGCTAAATCGTCCTTTCTTCAAATGTTTGGTGAATATTAATACTATGCAGTTTAATTTTACTGCCATTTTGTTCAATAACATGGAATACTTGATCTATGTACTGACCGCGATCATGCAACTGCATCAGGGGCAGTTCGAGCGGGCGCAGCGGGTCGGGCGGCGCGTGGCTGTTGACGCCCGGCACGCGCGCCAGTCCTACAAAAGCTTCACCCGCGAAGTCGTCTGCGGTCAGCACGTCGCGGTCCCACACGGACAGAGCCAGCGCCGCACCACTGCAGCGACACGCGTCCAAAGACACGGCAAACTCGAAGCATTCATCCCACACTGGGTTCAGTGTTTTCTGTTGCACGATGAAACGTATTACAATGTTGATAAAAGAGGATAACTTAGGAGATTAACCAGGTCACTCATTTAATAACGCTTAGAAAGTCTTGAAGAGGATATTTGTAAGGAAGTTACTATCACGTAACTGAATTGAAAAAAAAGTTTTTAGAGAATGGAAACTAACATTAAACTAATATTGTACTGTTTGTGTATATTACCTTCTGTACATTAGTGCTTTGTTCGTGAGCTTTAGGGAACAGTCGCTTGGGCAGTAATTCCAGAACAACAAATGGATCGCTCAGGCCATTAGGATCTAGTGGAATCACGTCACGCGCCGACAACACTTCGACGCACAGTGAGTCGTGATTGAAGTAAACCCTGTTGAAAAGTATTTTATTACACTATTTACAAATCATGGAAATAAGTGGCAGTACCTACCTACTAGTGTGACTGCAACTCAGTAAGTAAGTCAGTAAAATTTTACATATAAACCTACTTGTCGTTGCTTATATTGGAATTCCCTTAGGTAAGAATATTTATTGTACTAAATTATTATAATATATTAGTGTTATAAACAATAATGGAATATTATCCAGCCATTTGTACATGATCATTAGCTTGGAATACTATTGTATGTATAATGTAATGAACTGGTGTACAATAAAGATAATTCTATTCTAATATCTTTTAATCAAATAACTTTCACACATACATAGTTAGAAAGGGCAACTTTGACAATTTTAAGCAAAGTTTATTTTATTAATTGTAAAACATTGGCTAACAGAAGGGGTAGGCTAAGAAATATATTTTTTATGAAGTACATACTTACTGTGAGTTTGAAAACGCCACTACCAAAGTAACGAAGTTCCTTATAAAATTCCAACCTTAATTTTGCACCTTTAAGGGTGAAATTTTTTTAAATGTTCACTTAGTGCACACCTACGTCTTCGATTACGATTCAGTCTGTCAGTTTCTTTTTTTATTAATTAGGCTTTGCCGTTATTTTGTCTACGCTTAAAAATGTAATGAACACAAACCTGATTTGGGCCTATACCGGAAATACTGAGATATTAAGAAAAGTGTGATTAAGATACTGCATTAATACCTATTCCTATGTTAGTCAGTGATTTGTTATTGATATACAGATATCTTATGCGCATTCGTATTCTTAGATTGAAAGATTTTACAGTTTCTAGTGTGCAAAGTACCTACAGAAAATAGTTATAATATTCTGTTTGGTGGTTCTAAATTCGAAACCGTTCTTATTAAAAGTTATATCTGCAAGAAATAAATATTCTATCAAGCATTACATTTGATATAACTGACATGACTAATCTCAAAATATTTATTTTAGTTTTGGTAGTACTAGGGCAACTGCCTAAAACTATTTTATCAATAATAAAGTACTTACCGGACCAGTATTGATCCATAAGGAGAAGGCAGCGGTGTACGGGATTGCTCAGTGAGTCTATCAGCTAACCACAGCTCTAATAATTTCTCAGTGGGCGCCTGGTGATATTCCATCCTTTGTTCTACTCTCGACCACTCCGCATTGTGCACCTCCGACATAGGGAGACCTATATCGATTAACAAAATTGTTCAACCAATCCTCTAACCGAGCGACGATAGTTCCTAACTCCGTTCATTGTTATTCCTTATTTAAATAGGTTATGGAAACCACAACAATGTGAATAAGTACATATTATTTCAATAAATCTTTTTTGTTCAAAGATAAACAATTGTAAAGTGACCGTGCATAATTACTGGAAATAAAGTATATTTTTTAATTATCATTTGTACTAATTGTAACAAACCTTTTCCTTCGGCGTGGAAAAAGTCAGCGAGTAAATCCAATGCTTCTCTGAGCCTATGGTGATAGACTCTCGGACGCTCAGCCCCACCAGCGTCTGCTTGTGCGGACATCTCCTTAAGTACACCGCTCCAGCAACCGGCCAAAGCACGAGAAAAGGCACGCGGGAGTAACCACGTATTTAGTGATGAAAGGTGCTGGTCGAGAAACTCGAGTAGTGGAGTTATAGCCTAAAATCCACCCAGGTTATTCGTATTTAGAAAAAATATTGTTGATATTAAAATATACACACAAAAAGAGTTACAAACTCAGGAAAATCTAGTATTACTTACCTGTGGCGTAGGCAGAGTGTCAGGTGACCAAGCAAGATGAAAAACGGCTTTCCTTAGAGGAGGTCTTGCGCGAGCTGCAAGAGGTGAGGCCGCGCGGCTAGAACGCGCGTCCAAAGTGCCAAGCGCACCCCGTACTAGTTGGCGCGCATTTTCATCGTTTGCACTTTGAGAAAATAAATAGATTTACTGAATAAAATTATTTGTTTAGTTAGAACGTTACTGATTTATTTCAGATTGCAAAATGCGAGCAATTTTTGGAGTTTTGATTATGATTAAAATAAACAAAACTTAGTCCCTGTATTAAAAGAAAATTGTTTCAAGGAAGTGATTAGTATTTAAGACATATTGACATTTTATTAAAGCCTTACCAGTTTAATATAATATTTTTTTTGTCTGTATAGATAGACACTGTAAAGTGTTACTTAAAAATTAATTTGGCGAAATTACTTTAAAAAAAGTTGTTGATAACTGACGACGTGTGTATAATCTTATCTACATAAAATGGTAAACATGAAAGAATGAAATCATTTAAACTTTCGTAGTTTGTTGGACATCGGTCGGTTTAAGGTCTGAAGGATAGCCCCGGAATTAGAATAATATGTACAATAATGTTGATTTTATAAAAACAAGTTCATTTTATTTATAAGTATCTAATCTAGAAATATGCATTTCAGACATAATACTGAACTACTCGTACAAAGTCGATAAAACATGTCATTAAGACAGATGATGACGAAGCGACAAAAGCCTCCATTCTTCTTGTAAGATATCCATTGATCTTAATGTACAAACTTCTGATTGAGTTTCTAGCTAAACTGATATAGTTGTCAAGTTGTTTTAGTTTTAATTAAGATTTACGGCCAACTGCACGGTAAGTGTTTATGTTAGAAGTTCTGAGTACTTGGGTACATGGGCAAATTGCATTGGCCCGAAGGAACGATATGGGAGTACTGAAATTTCGAAATTATTTTGTCCTAATCAGTTATGTTAATAACACAGTCACCTAGTCTAAAATAAGAGACTTAGAAACAAATGTGGGGTCATAAATATACTATTGTAGTAAATCTAATAAAGAAAATACATCTACTATATAACGGATGAGTCAGTTTAACACTTCAATGCCTTAAGGGCAAAGAAAGATACTTTATGCAATGATTTCTAAGCTGTTATTATTTTCAGCTCCAGTGAAGATGCTGTGCATTTGAGCGTTTTGTGTTCAATCAATCGCTGAACGATAATTTCTCGATATCTCCGTCGAACCATGAAAATCCATATAAACTTTGCGCTGAATGTCATAAAATATGTTTTCGCTTGGTGGTAAGAATGTTGTAAATATAATATATATTAGATCCGGCACCCAGAGAGCACAATATTTACGGTCTAGAGATTAACTCGCACTTACATGTGATCGTCGTCATACTCGCCAAGTGAGCGCCGGACGTATTCCAGATTATTCACGATTGTGCAAATTTCTTCAGTTGTTTTATTTTGACCTAAAAGAATAATTATATTAATTTGGGAAATAAAACAAACTAATATAAAATGTAAGAGATTTTAGGCTTAACTTTAATGAATATTTAATAACAAAAGACTTTTTGATTAATTATTGTCGTTTAACCTTTCAGTTTGCCGACATTTAATTAAATAATTAATAAAAATGCTTAAGTACTTGAATAAGATTGGATATTTATTATTATTCAATCATATCAGAAAACAAACTTTTCAGTGAACATTGGTCAAACATTGGAGCAAATAGATATTATTACGAACTCAAATTCCCTTGATATAAAGTGTTCGTAATAATTACAACTACACGATCTATTAGAATCAATATCAAAAATAATTCTTCATTTTCGGCGTATTCTGGGTCATACGTATCGCACTTGACTTTTTTTTTAAGAAAACACTTTAAGCACCGTTATATATTTTTTTCTTATAATGAACTTCGGACTACAGTTACTGATAAATACATTTTACATATTCAACTTAGCGTAACATGTTTTACCGTACGTATTGTACATACCGCATAATGGGACGTAACGTACGTCTCATCGTTAGATGAAAATCCAAAAACTTTTGCACCGTTTGAACTCAAATTTTGACACAATATGTAACACGCTTCAAATATGGTTTTTATCTATTTTATGCAACCACAATATGTCATAGCGAACCGGCCGGGTACCGCTAGTAGGTATATATAATAATGGTTATATAATGATAAATAAGTTGGTTTGTGTACGCTTCAAAAACTTTTCTTTTTCTCTTTTCTTCATCGATTTGTTGACATAATGTGCCACAGCGATAAAATATGTTATAGGAGTATATGGTTAACACATATCGAAGAGACGCATAGAATACTGTAGCTATATTCTTTTCAGTCCATTGAGGACTCAAAAGAATAGGAAACAATCTAATTAGAATACCTTCCCCGGTCTGTTAGAATCCTTTAATGATAAAATTAGACTTGCAACGAATATTCGGTTACTATTCGGTATTCGGCATATTCGGCTGCTTCTATTATATTCGGCCGAATACCGAATATCTACATATTATTCGGCCGAATACCGAATACTTAAATAATATATTTTGTCATTGAGAAATAATTGGTAAAATGAAAAATTAAAATCGATTGATTACGACGTACCTATATATTCATATTTTCATTTCTTATATAATCATTTAAGTAGTCATTGGTGCATAACACAGGTACATAATCATCTTCTGAATTGGAAAAATGGAGGATTCTATGTATTTGAATTACTGTGGTAATCAAAATTTAGAAGGGTAAGGTTCTCATTTCTTTTATAATCATTTAGTAAGTAGTCATTGGTACATAAAACAGGTACATAATTTAATTCACGTCTGTACAAGTTTTTGGCGCTAAAATCCAGCCGAATACTTTTGCCTAATATTCGGCTATTCGGTCAGGGGCCTCGCCGAATATTCGGTATTCGGTATACTGCCGAATATGCTATTCGTTACAAGTCTAGATAAAATATATTTTAGGTAAGCAGGTAATTCAAGCTTACCGTGGTTATCATAGTATCCCTGATCAGCAAGTGCACCATGCACAAGATCGGCATAGTGAAGCGCGGTCGCACATGCAGCTTCAAGCAAGCGGAGGCCTCCGCCTGCAGTACCTTCTTCTGCACCCCCAATAGCACGCCATACCAAGCGCATGTGATACAAGCTACGTCGCGTAATTAAGATGGGTACATTAAAAAATAGTCCAAAAGTCTTTAATTTGTTAAATCTATATATGTACTTATTTTTAAAGGAATAGCGAAGTACATATGTCAGAGTCGAATCTTTTAAAATGTTATGTCTAACGTCAGACTTGATCCCTGATATATAAATTTACTAGCGATCCACCCCGGCTTCGCACGGGTGGAATGTAGAAACTAGATACTAATACTTCTAATGTGGTGTCAGTAACAAAAATATAGTGTATTGTATTATTTATCTACATGTGGCATTAGGTCCTAACATATGAAATTGGCGTTTTGTACGGGTGGAATATGAAGTCAATTTTTTTTTGTAAAATATATTTAGTTAATCAAAGTATGCACCGTTATTATCTATGCACTTTTGCCATCTCATAGGTAGTTCATTGATCCCTTTACTAAAAAAGCCATGGGGGCGAGAATCAATAAACTCTTTGGCGGTTTGGACTGCCGCATTCTAGTTGATTTTTTTCCTTGTAAGGAGTTGTCCAAATTCCGGCAAAAATGGTGATCTGTTGGCAAGGTCCGGGGAGTGAGATGGATGTCGCAGACATTCTAATTGTAGCTCATCTAACTTAGTGGTTGTTTGTTGTGCAGTGAGTGGTCTTGCATTGTCGTGAAGCAGCAGTGGGCCTAGAGCGATTGACCAATCTCGGTTGTTTAGCAATTAGTTCTTCCTTCATGGTTTGCAGTTGCTGACAATAGATATCTGCCGTAATCGTTTGGCCAGATTTTAAAAAGCTGTAGAGAACGACACCGGCGTTAGTCCACCAAACACTCACAAGTAACTTTTGCCGAGTCAATTTTCATTTAGGGCAGAATTTGGGTGAGTCTCCAGGGTTCAGCCATTGCGACGAGCGCTTCTGATTATCGTACAGTATCCACTTTTCATCACAAGTAATGATTCGATTTAAAATCCCTTCATTATTGTGTCGGTTGAGCAAAGTAACACAGCAGTCGACGTGCGTGTTTGCAAGTTCGATTAACTCAATTCATGAGGTACCCATCGTTCAAGTTTTTTTACTTTCCCGATTTGCTTCAAGTGGTTTAATACAGTTTTATCACTTACCCCTAAGCCTGCAGCTATCTCTGAAGTGCTTTGTGATGGATCCGCTTCCACAATACCCTTTACTTCTTCATTTTCCACTTTGGTCTCCGGCCATCCACGGGGTTGGTTCTGAAGGTCGAAATTTCCAGAACGAAAACTTTGAAACAAAAAACGTACCGAGCTTTACCGCTGCCGCCGTACACATTGTTAATCCCTCGAGCTGTTTCTGCAGAGCTGGTACCACGGTAGAACTCGTACTCGTAAATATACCGACATTTCATATTTTCCATTGTGCGGTAATAAGCGACGCCAAAGAAAAAAAGAATGAGGAAAAAACAAATGAATGACTGTTTTCAAAACTCAAATGTACCAGCTAAATGAATTTATAAATTTGAATTTGGAATTCTTAACCAAAGAGGAGACATTTCAGATCAAAGTGGTCAGTAAGACAAAACGCTAATTTCTTATGTAAGGACTAAATATTTACCTACGTAAGTTGTGCCCCAGGATTAAGGTTAATACTATGTTCTATTTCGTACGAATTTTTTAGTGTATAGAATATTAATAGTGGTAAACCAATAAGCCAATAAATAAACATGAAATTCATATTGAACAATTTTTTTTTTGTATTCAAAAAACGTTTTTTACTATTTAAATGGGATTTTGTTTAATTTTTGGAACAAAATTCCTTATCCATTACACGCTCTGAGCGGATGGGAGCGAGAACGAAAAGTGTAACCAAACTTTTTTTCGACACTTCTTGTTCTTATTACAAAATAATTATTATAATGAAAATAATGATAACATCTATTTTAACTTTTATTTATATTTTTATAGTAAATAAATAATATATATTTGTAAAATTAAAAACGTTTTGTAATAAAATAAAATTTATACAGTTCCTAAATTTTTTATTTGTCATTAACTTAATTATCCCAGATCGTTGTGTTTAATTTATCATTATTTATGTTATACATAATATATTGGAACGAAGTTCATAATCGCGCGTCACAAGCTCTGACCGGATGAGAGCGAGAACTTCAGTTCGACGCTCACATCTTTTTCATATCTCATATATTTTATAGCAAACGTCTACCAAAAAGCGAAAGGAACTTCGTTTCGACCAGGGGTCTACAGTCCCATCACGCCGTTTTTATCTATAAACGATCAACGAACGACGATTTTAAAGAATTTGAGTTTGAACGATAGTCAACATTCGCGATCGCTATTCAAAATCTGGAATCCGCTTAAAGTAAGTCCGTCCAGTACTTCACGCGTGGTTTCTTACTGTTTAATGTCTCCGATGTGTATGTGCACATATGTACAATGTGAATGTGAATTCCATATCAGTCTCCACGTGTTCCTACCCTACCCGTGTCGCATCAGTATCTGTTTCAATGTTTATAGTAGGGGATGATGCTAAATGGGGATGGGGACCTATTGCATTTGAAAGATTAGGTAATAGAATGAATAAAAGTCTTATAATGTTGCCACTTTCAGCGGTGGGAAAAGCTTTTACAGGTTTTCAAAAATGTAAGGGCAGGACATCAAAAGAAATCACCATCGCATCACAATCGCATCAGATATTTTAGGGATATGTTATTGATATGTTATTTGGACTCAAAAAATGCTAACATTAAAAGGTCTGACGATTTTAAAATGACCCAAGCTGGCAGCGAATTTTTGAAAATGTCATCTGCAAATTTGAAAAATCGCTATTTTAAAGTACCCGACAGTGCTAGATTTTATAAAGACTTGATGTTCCTATCATACTAGCCAAAAATCTGACGATAATTTTGCAGGGTATTTTAAATCTGACGGTATGAATATTTTTTTTATAAAATGTGACAAATAAAGGCACGAAAAATTATGTAGACATTTAAATAACTTTTCTTCAATTGTTTGCTTCAAAATAAAAAAGAAATGTCAATGTAATGTGTTTTTTTTTTTTGAACTTTGTGACCCTCGTACTGCTTTATGATACGCTCAAATCGTCTGTTTTTCTTAGATACACACTAATGTGCATGTAATTGACTTAACTTACCTTAATCTTACACGCTCGAGTATTTTTGGCCATCGATTTTTTTTAAAACTAATTTGATGGGCTGCCCTAGACGATCCCTCCTACATGTAGGCCTCATGTGTGGTGGAGGTACTCAACTAGGTGTAAGGTATTCCTCCTTTCTTAATCTGACACGCTCGAGCAAATCCCGAAATCCCTTCTAGGGCTCCCCTACTATTAGGTAACATTCTACAATTTTTTTCTCTTTTTATGAAACTATAAATCTAGTATGAGTGACAGAATAAAGGATTTTGTAACGATTTTTTTCGTTATGCAACGAAGGGAATTTTATAACAAATGAAATAATTGTCAATTTAAAAAAGAGTTAATAATCTGTTACCATTCTATTGACGAACGATGATTATAGAAATCATTTTACCAGGAAACATGAAAATATCTTTCTACTAAAATTCAACTATGCGGTGCAAACTATTTGGAAGTTCTTAATGGAATCAGTCTGTAATCGCTGCAAATGAAACCTAATCGAGACGTATAGTATTCAAAGCTATGTCAAACCTATTCATAACGTAGACACGATTCATAAAACTGTTATCATTAACTGTCAAACAAATGCCTCAACAGTTGTCAACAGTCAACTGTTGAGGCATCTGTTTTTATAGTGTCACATATAAAAAAATAAAACAAAAGAGCAGATTTTTACTCCAATTTGTTTTCGTAATATATATGATTGGTTATTTGTGTAAAGTCTACACTGGGGCAGCGAATGTGATGTCAAAGGAAGTCATCGCAAACATTGACCAATCGATCTAAACTAAGACTACCTTAAGAACTTACAATAAGTAATCAGTTTTATGTTTCAGTAATTTTTGTCGATAGTACCTTAAATTTGATAATCATATCAATTTGGAATTGCTGATTTCTTACATCTAAGAAGACGAGCAAACTTACACTTTTGTAGTAGTTAACGAAATTCGCTTGCGTTCACGCATTTGTATTGCACTCGTATTACATAGGCAACTAACTTTACATACTTAATTATTGTACATAATTTAGTACTCATTTATCAATCTAGCAACCTATCAGTCATGTTAGGGAAACTACCCCTACAGAAGACATAACTTTTTATAGTGAAATCAAATAAAAAATAAAATAAAATAAAATAAACTTAATCTATAAATTGAATAAACTTACCATGCAGCGGTATCTACGGATGAGGTGCTATGTTTTACAAGATGTTCTCCCTCCACAGGACGGTCTGCAAATAATTTGTTACTTAATAAATCTGTAACGTAAAATATCACGAACACAGTATTGGCCCGTATTTCGTTGAGATGTAATGACATCTCATTAAACAGTACAGACCCCTGCTAATATTTTGGAATTAGTAAAATAAAATAAAAAAATAGAAAAACCTATTTTTTTTTAAAACCACTATTTAGGATAAATTTTATTTACATACTACGTCATATTCAATTTCAGAGGTGTGTACGTGAAACTGGTGTTTGGTAATTAACTACTAACTAAAAAGGCTTTATATTATCTATTATTAAATGTTAAATAACTATTAATAAAAGTTAAAAAAAAAATAAAAGATCATTTATTTGACACGTTTCAGTAAATCGTTTCGTGTTATGGTACAGTTACATTTCGATGTTTATCTAAATGACCGTCCGCCTGCTAGCGGAGTGTGAACCTTGACTTTTGCCCTCGCAATACTATGCTTAAAAAATTACTTCTCTTTATTTCCCACTAAGTTACAGTTTCATTTCAAATAGCACACAGATTGCCCTTAAGAAGTTCACAAAAAATATCCACTAACATTCCAAACAAGCAGTTTTGGTTTTCTAATTACAGTCACATTTTTGATGACGTGTAGATTATAACCGAGATAAACGTAGGTAAATATTGACATATTACATTCATATCCATACCTAGTAAAATATTTCCGTAAAAATATTCATGTAAGTTAGTACGTTTACAGTGCAAGTGTCATAGTGTCATTACGACACTATGACACTTGCACTGTTATTGTTTATCGAACGCTGATTTTACGAGACAAGTTTAATAAGCGTCTAATTCGTAATATTTGAAGCACACTACTTATAACCGCAAGTGTTACTCAAAATTATGATATACTAGTTATTTTTAGGATATCCTTAAAATAGTAATATTTTGCAGTAAAGTAAATAATGATAATTAAAATGTTTAATATTTTACATACACACATGCAATGTGTTGATGATGATAATTAGAAACTTACCTAAAAACTACAACATTCCCTATAAATAAATGAATGTGAAAGATAAAATCAAATGAGAGCTTACCTAGTTCAACGGCAGCGCGCACTCTTTGAAGCGCCATAGTCTTGGTGACGGCGAGCCACCGATCGATCAACGGTTCGAACCACCTGCGACCACAACAACATTAGCATACCGAGACGTGCTTGCTATCGCTGTAATCGCCCAATTTCACGGTTGCTTTCTTAATTAAAACTAATTGGTTACTTGCGAAATGCTTAAGGTACGCTCCCTCTAGAGAACATGACTGGGTATTTTAAAAGAAAAAAACTAGTTTAAAGAAAATGTTGGAGGCACAAGACCTGGCTCGCTTAACTAAAATGCATTCAATGTTTAGTACTAATATGAAATAACAATTTGCTAATTGACGCAAAACGTATAAAGTGAAAGGGTCAAAGAATAGGGACAAATTGATAAAGTGTTCCCTTTTTTATTTTATTTGCATATAATATAAAAACTATAAAATATCCATTGCAACGATACATTTGTTGCAATGGATATTTTATATGGAGGTTGTATTGAAACACATTTGACACTTCAGTGATCGAAATAAGCCACTATACTTCCGTTGGGATAAATATTTTACGTAATGGAAGAACGAGACTTCCATACTCAATTTGTAAAATACAATGTTTTTGACCGTATGTTACATTTATTTTTGGTTGATCCTGTTTTAAATTTAGAATATTAAATCTAAGATATCAAAACATAAACGCGTATTTCATTAAATTCGGATTGCAATCCGTACTTTACACGAGGCGTGCTCATTGGTGATCGTATAGCAGATAAAAACTTTAGATTTATTTCAAGTGACAGATATGTAAATAAGTAGAACAGAAAAGATTGAAGTACGAAGAAATATCCATTTTATCTAAAATCCCGAATGCTACTTACGTAGGAATCTGTGTGTTTCAGTTCGATTAATTGTTTATTAAAAATTTCTACCTGGACAAATCACACTGAACCTAGTCACTTTACCTAGTCCTGTATCGGGTATGATAACTCACTGATAAGCATCGAGCAGTTGTGGTGGTGGGTCATGAGGGACATGAGGCGCGTGCGAATGAGGATGAGGTTGCGGTGCCAGTGCTGCAGCTGCGCATAGCTCCCGTACTGCAGATAACACTTCGAATGGCAGAGTCTTCGCAGTTGTCATCACGCAAACTGCCGAATATACTAGATTTTTATACCCGTGACTTCACACGCTTAGAATAGAAGAATTAAATAATGTAAAACCCATTATGTAAGGGCATGGCACAAAAAAATAATATCGTTTAACTGGAAAACACTGAATGTGTTAATAAGGCTATAATAATAGATAGGCTGACTTCTAACTGTAAAGAACCTGTATACAATTTTTTTAATTTGTGCTTTGAAAAAAGTTAATAGGTAAGTAATGCAAAATAAGCCGTTAAGCCTTTCATGTATAAATCGTATCGATTTTTCCTGACATGAACGGCTTAACCCTTTTTTTACCTACATTCTAACAAGTCCTTACCAAGTTCGTAATTATTCAATAATTGGGTTAGTGAGTTGGGTGAGAATGTTATGTACATTAGATATAATAAGAATGTACGATGAGACATTGTAAAACGCAGTTTTCATTTATTTAATTTTGTAACTGCAATGTAAGCAAAATAATACTAAAAAAAGGAATGACTTAACAGAAATTGTTTGGTGAATTCATTTTAGTATTGTCTCTTTATGCTTTAATACACTTACTCGGGTTTAATTGTTCATCGAATATATTTTCTTCAACGACGCCACACCATCCTTCTATAAGCCAATGCTGCATGCATTGCCTGACATCTTCCGATACCTGATAAATAGAAAAACATTACAAAATACCTGCAATCTATTTTAATCTGATTTCATCAAAGTAATTTTTAAAAGAAGAAAACAGTGCCTTATTAGGTAGATTTTTAATGTTTTTTAACGCGACTGGACTACAATGAATTCATATGAAACTGATTCCTAGATCCGTCTGGTGATCAAAGCCTCGTTTCTCAGGAGAGGTCCATGTCAAACAGTAGACTATAAAATGCTGTTGATTATAATGATGATTCCGAGCAAGGCGACATTGCAACTAGCGGTTATAACGTGCAGTGAAGGCAGATCGTAGGACAAAGTGTAAACGTAGCGAGCAGAAAACTCGCACGTGCCGAGCCTCTTAAAAACTATTTAGACGACAATACTGTCTAAGTTTTTCTGTGTGGAATTTGTAATTCCATTCTTGTCTGGGGCAATGGCATGGCAGTACCTGAGATGCAGAGCGGTAGAAGTTTAGATCCTTAACGGATAGAAAATATCCACAGTTTCATTAATCTTAACACCTGATATTATAGATCTAAAGGATATGATGAGCCTTCAACCTAGCAACATATTTTCTTATTCTAAAAAAAAAAAGTTTAACCGCCGAACTTTAATATAAATTATCCATACTTTAATGCTTATATTATAAATGTGAAAGTGAGTTTGTTTGTTACGCTTTTCCGCCTGAACCAATAATGGGACACTAAAATAGAAAGCTACATTTTCAGGGAGTTACTAAGGCTACTTTTTGCCGCGATAACCGACAGAGTTATTGTATACTAGCTTTTGCTGTTTGTAATAGCAAAAGCTAGTATACAATAACTAATACAACCTTTAAAAGTTAAATTTTCATGGTCTTATATTTTCTACTACCTATAATATTATTATGTATCAAATTAGCTTATGATAAATGAAATTTGTAGTGGAACACACACACTAAGTGTAAGTTTTTTGTATTTCTTTCAGTAGGTAGGTCGGTTTAGTAACATAGATTACATTATTTATTTATAAATTTCTGAAAGCTCTGTTATGATGATTGAATATTATTCTGCTTCTTTTAGTTACTTAACTTTATAAATCAAAATATCAATCAGACTCAAGGAGTGGACATACTACTAATTTTGTTAAGTTGTGTTTTCGTGTGGTGACGGATTAAGAATATGAAATGTCACCACCCCTATGATTAATTAATTAATATTATAATTAATTAATTTTGTTATAATTACAGTTACAAATTGGCAATATACATACAAATTACACATATTCAATCATTTACTGATGACGTAAATAGCACTCTCTCTAAGGTCGTGAACTGGTTCAATGTTAATAATTTACTTTTCAACGAGAAAAAAACTAAATGTATTAGATCTTTTTACACCTAATGCAATGCAATTAAGCAGGTAAAAATCAATGTTCTGACAAATGGAAAGGAGTTGGATCTTGTGGACACCACCAAGTTTTTGGGTATAACTCTAGTACTAAATTGCAGTAGCGCCCACATATTGATGGATTGTCGAATAGATTCAGCTCTGCAGCATACGCGGTTTATTAAATTCGTCAATGTAGAACGGATGTAGAAACGGCTAGACTGGTGTATTTTGCCTACTTTCATAGTGTAATGTCATATGGTATTTTGTTGTGGGGAAATGAGTATCTTTGTGTTGCAAAAGAGAGCTATTCGGCGCAATCTATAATCTGAGTTATAGGCAGTCACTAAGGGATGAGTATAAAGAAATTGGTATCATAACAGTCGCCTCTCAGTACATATATAAAAATTTATTGTATGTAAAGAAAGGTATTCATTTATTCACAAAGTTTAGCGACATTAACCAAATGAACACTAGAAATAAATATAAACTCATGTTACCAACCACTGAACTACAAAAAGTCAGCAAGTCTTTTCGTTGTCAGAGTGTGCAATTCTACTATAAAATTACAAGCAAATTTCATGAACTAAATATTAACAAATTTAAGACTTTAGTAAAACAAGAAATATGTGAAAAGGCTTACTACTCGGTTATAAATTATTTAGATGACAAATTTTCTTGGGATTGATGCTGCTCACTCCCGCATTTACTATCATTTCCTACCATTGTTATTATGCATGAAAGTGATGGTCATTGATAGTATTGTTGTATTACGTATTTAGTTTGTTTTTAATTTGTTTATTTTTTGATTGAGCTTGAATTGTATAGTATGTTTTTTTTTTTGTAAATATTTAAATGTGAGTATAGTGTAGGCCTGTAATGTTAGTTCATATTTATTAATTTTCTGGTGGTTTTGAGTGTTTCCTCGGCCTACTTAAATGTCCTGCTGGCTGTAGTGTCGCGCTTCGGGTAGTTGATCTTGACTAATATCGGTACATGATGGTTGGAGTTCGTATGCCGGCTGTATGGACAGGCCGACTCAAAACTATGGTCCGTTCTTCAAAAGGTCTACTCTACACTGTACTCGCACAGTTTTGTATAACTTTGTTCACGGGCTAAAAAAAAACCTCTGTGGTTTGTTTCGGTGTTTCTTCCCAGAGTGAGTCTTAGGAAATGCCAGCTCCATCTAGCTGTAAAGTCCGACTTGTAAATATAATAATCATTTATTTACAGAAATAAATTTCATTTTAATTCATTTCATCATTTCAAATAAATGTTATTGCAGAATTTCCTCTAACAAGGACCAATTTTGGCTGCATGTAATATACCTGGCGAATTATATAATTAGAGGAACAAGCATATACGGGGGGACGACGGATTAAGAATATGGAGTGTCACCACCCCTATTCATCCCATGGGTGTTTTAAGAGCCGACTGACGGAGCAAACTACGCAAAAAACCGTACTACAAAGAGAAGGAAAGCTGGACACAAACCCTATATCAACACGTCTTGCCAGCTTGATATAGTAGGCCAAAACCTCTTTTCTTAGAAGAGACCTATGTCCAGTAGTGGACTGTTAAAGGCTGAGTTAAATAGCCTTTATCGTATCGTTGTACACCGGTTTTCTTATATATTACACATTACATAAATTGCACATTTTATTCTTTTGAGCGCCGCTTGTCGAGTCAACGACACGGGGTTATATATAATGTAGGTACATACGTATAACATCCGCGGAAACGTCAGTTGAGTCCATGTAAGAAAATGTATTTTATACAAAACTTGCTATTATTCGCGGCTTTGCTAACGAATATTTAGATTCTGTAAAACGTTTCATATTTCTCTCATTAAATATACATTTTCTGGGTGAAATTTACCTAATATACGCCGACCTGACAACCTTTTAATGCAAAATTTTAAGATTATATGTTCAGTAGTTATGGAAATATAGTATGTTCAGTAGTTATGAAAATGCGAATAAACAATTCCATTTACTTCGACATTTATAATAACAGAGCCGATTGTTGTGTGATTTTAATATCGTCAGTAGAAGCGGATCTAGCTTTTGCCGATGCTAGCGAACTATCAATTTTCTTTTACTTATTTACTACAATAAATATTTGCTAAATAAAAAATATATTTTGTATTTCAATAGATAATGATAGTTGCAATGGGAAAATTTTTATCATGCACATACTCGTATAATTGGCTTCGATTACTATTGCAATGCATGATGGGAAACACCATTTGTGGGAAATAAATACCTGCCTTCGCGAAGACAGCTACTATTTTGTATGTCATTTACTGTTAAATGCGAATGGAAATGTGATTCAAGTAATATTACTTTAATACAGGAATGACCCTTGTGTGTAATACTTTTCTACCTATTCATTAGTAATAATTATAATTGCTAGTGTTGATATATCGGACAATCTTATAATGACAAATAAGACAACGAATAGTTGGCTGTTGTACGGCTCATAACTAAATAATACCTACATAATAAAAACAAAAATAATTTATATTAATTTTGATTACGTATCTATGTGAACTTTAAATACCTTAAAATTAAAGTACCTAATGAAATGTGATAAATATTGCTTGCCAAATGGCAGCATAAAGCTGAACTAAATTTTTATCCTATAATTGATAAAACTATGATAACACCAATTTTAATAACCTGTATTCGCAATAATTATATTTTATCGTGAGAGGGCCATACTTCGGCACATATGGGCCGGTTCGACAGGAGTGATACCACGGCCTCACAGAAAACTGCTGTTGTGCAATTCCTTCTTTGCTTTTTACCGAATAAGTGAGATTACAGGAGGCCTAACCACTAATTCTGTGGAAGGTACTCAAACGCACTTATGTCTTTTTGGTTGCAGGTATTCATGGGCAGCGGTAGTTCCTCACCAGCAAGTGACACGTCTGCTCTTTTATGTTTTCTGAGTGAATAGTTTTGTAAAAATTACTCCAAGGCTTTTGCCGTCTACTAACTCGTGGTGAACCTTCTGAACTAACTTACGCTGGTTTAATGAATGGCCGAGGATCTATCACCCTCATTAAGAGAGAGTCCTGACAGTAATGGGGCAATAAAGCTACCCATGACTGCGTGTTGTGTAATGTAAGGAGTACTTGGGATGTGTTCACCTCCAAATGTCGAACAATTAAGATATTTAGTTAAATAACAAACACATTTATTAAATAGAAGAACACTTAAATAGTAAACAATTTTCGGTACATATTTTTTCTTGCCTTTGATTCAAAATAGTTTTTCATATAATTTAATTAGTAAGGTACCTGGAATAATAATTGATAACCAATCATACAAAAATATATTAAATCACTAAAGGTCAAAAAAATCACAAAAAAATATTATGTTGCCCAATCACCATTATTATTACGAAAGTCTTTTCGTCGATTATTTGTTACATAAATAAGAGTCATTCTACACAGGCACCGACTTCAAACAGACTAGAAGGTATCTATTGCTATTATAATGTTACCTGTTATATTGAGGGTCGCACTTATTTTATTTTTTTCACTTAGATTTGTAATTATTTTTTAATGTTAAGTGCTCGTTGTTAGTACTGTTTGAAGTCGGTTCAACTTTTTTTAAAAGTTTTTAATTTTCCTATTTATAGTGTAAGATATGTTTGAAATGAGTAGATAAGTACGATATTTGAAAGACTACGTACTGTAATGTAAATTACCAAGTTAGTATGTTAGATTATATTAAATTTAGTTTAATAAGTTACTTAATTTTCCACCACTAGCAGTGGTATTTTTTCTTCACATTTTCATGGAACAAAAGTCATTCTAAATATAAAACAAATAATCGGTTTACAAATGAAAGAGTTGAGAACATACATAAAAATTATTCCGAAACATCTATATTTTTTTTATTAATGTTTTATAATCACATTCATTACAATCTTGAGCTAATATCTGTGTAACCCAAAAGAAACACCTAACAAATATCTTGAAAGAATAAAATAAGGTCAATACATAATTAATTTTTTGAAAGAGTTATCCTTTAACTCCTAAAACACGTTGTCGGGGCTGCATAATTTGAGGGTTTCCCTCGATTTCTCTAGGATCCCAACATCAGATACTGATTTAATGACAATGGTACCACCTCGGGACTATACCCTTTCGATTACTAAAAGAATTTTGAAAATTGGTTCACAATTGACGGAGATATAAAGGTTACGCAACATAGAAAAAAAAATACAGTCGAATTGAGAACCTTTTCTCTTGTATTTTTGAAGTCGGTTAAAAACTAGAAAATACTCGTATTTTGCTGTATTTTATCCTAGTATTTTATGATGAACGTATAAAATAATAGTTAATCCAGTTTAGTTGTATTTGACCAGGTTTTATGCAAAAGAATCTCGTCTAACAGGATTATTTTATGAATGCGCCGCTTCGTTGAAGAAGATATTAATAAAACTGAATTAAAATTGTTTAACTTACCATTTTGTCTATTTGCGTGAAAACAACGCTGAAGTAATGAACATTGTTCGTGCTGCAACAAAAAAGGAAATATTTCATAAAGATGAATAAACCAAAAAATGTATAGTAAAGGTATAGAATCTTTAGAATTTCTATTGCTATATCCTCCCTCTTTTTGAGAGCTGCTCTGAGTCCGTCTATTTCGCTGAAAATATAAGTTCTACAAAAAATTGCTACTCAAAACTCAGTATTGATAGATAAGTGTTTGTACAAACTAGTATAATATGATATATTTCACATATTGACCCTCGAATATAGACGTTTGCATCATCTACTAGCGTAAGGCGGGGTGTTAAATTTCTAGTTATTTGAGTGGCCGATAATGGTGTTAAGACAATAGACCATTATACAATAACAGCGAAATCCTCAGGGATTATCTTCGGCATGAATTAGAAAACAAAGAGAATATGTGTACTAAGTATTAGGTTTAGTTAGATGTCTAACTAAACAATAATCATTTTAAATATGTTTTTAATGGAGAGACTTTGTCTATAATATAGTATATGGTGCCTAGACTTGCAGTAGTACATGAGTAGAATATATTAATCTAAGTAATGATTAATAATCATCGCAATTGACTTACGTTTCAAACAAAGGGTGGTAGTATGTTAGACCCTGTTGCAAATCAATTTGTACAAGAGTGATTAGGTTGACCAGGTCCTCACCACGCTCTGACTCTGTGTCCTGTGCGCACAATGCTTCATACCATTCCGCGGTGCCTTTCCGAAGTGAGCTGACTATGTCACTCCTGTATTAGAAATTTTGTTAAACATTCATGTATTGAATTTGAAAGATGTAAATATATTAGTGGTGCTTCGAATGAAAAATGTATCGCTAAACACAAATTAAAGAAAAACGAAAAAACTGTTAATTTAATTGCCATACACTTCATTTGAAAGAAATAATACTTTGGTAAAATTAAGGAATAATGCTTTAATAGTGTGGTATTAATAATTAAATAAAGAGTTTTACTGTCCACCTTCCAGCTTTATCATCAGAAAAAAGTTACCGTACCATGCCCAATCTATTGAAAACAAAAGAGAGATACTAGTAGCCACAAAAAGATAGAAAAGACTTTTAAAATTAGTCCCAAGATGCCAAATTATAGTATTGCTAGCTGACACATGTACTACGTCTACATATGTATAACTTAGATTCGTCTAAGTTCAGAATGTAAATAAAGTAATATGAATTACCTACGACACCTAGAAGTATCTTATTATACTCGTATTATTGATAGAATGTTCACATTTTTCAGGAAATGTTTATAAAAAAAACAAATGTTCGTTTTGGTATGAAAATTTAAATGTGCCTTGATAATAATGTAAATTGATAATTGAACTTTTGGCATTATATAACGTACCTAAGATTTGATCAAACCTTTTGTTAACAGTCTGTAGATTTGTAAGTCTTACACTTGCCTGATTTCTTTGTTGAAAGGGCAGCAGCGCCAGAAAGCCTTCATTTGCGATAGATGATTTAGGCATCGTAGTAGATACTCTAACCTGAGAACAATAATTTATTTTTATAAAACCACAAATTTACTAACAAAAAAAAAACAGTGGCGCGAAATGATAAAAAGAAAAAATATTTTTTTTTTTTAAATGTCCTTAAAATTATTTGTGAGTAGTCACGCAAAAAGGGATGTTTGAAGTTTTAGTCAAAGCCGTGTCTATTCATGCATATCATTTTTAATTAGTATGCGACTTTTGAGTTTATATAAATTGTATATTTCTATTGTGTTTTTCTTTTCTATATTCTTCTCTATTAGTAATTTCACTGCTAATCCCAATTCACAAAAAAAAACGCAGTCCATTTTTTCTTGGTCGTCCTAAATTCTTGTTTCTATCATCTATACATGTAAATACATACATTAATGAATAGTCTACAGACGTTCGACACATTTTCATGTGATTGGTTTGAAGTTGAGTTAAAAGAGGGACTCAAAATCATTTAAAAATTAACCATTATTATTAATTACTATATTGTTACCGACTTTTGTTTTTAAATGATTTTGAGTATGGCCTCACCTGTCACCCCCAGGCCTGCGCTTAAGCAGGACGGAAGTCGTTCTGTGACCGAAGGTACGGGCTCCGATTCTAAGTCTCATCCGCAAAAATGCTCGCCATATCAGATCGATTCATGTGTAGATCGTAACGGGGTGGAAGAATGGAGCACACTTCTCACTTTTGCATACACTGCCTTAAAAGCAAATGTCCTGACGTGCGGTCTGAGTGTGCACGGTGAGAGATGGCTACAGAGAGGAATAGCCCTAGATTGCAGTTAAACAAGTGGATGATCAAATCTAAGGTTTTTGACGCTGAACTAAGGAGTGATGTGCGTCTTCTTATAACTGAAGACTACTTTGCTGAACGGGATCCCGACACACTCACTGCCATGAGATTTAAGCATCCAGGTTCTTTAGGTCCTCTAAATTTGCCTGTAAGGCCAGACATATGTATCCTGATGTAGGTTACAGTAGAGGAAGTGGTGTCGGCACTTGGCTCTTTTTACAACGGATCGGTGGCGGGCTTGGACGGGACTTTCGGCCGGAACACCTGAAGGAGCTTACATCAGCATCAGTTGGTGAGAACAGGAGGCGCCTTTGAGGGTGCTTGACCAGACTTGTGAATTTCCTGCTCAGTGGTCAGTTGAAACCAATTGTGTGTCCGTACCTTTACGGCCCTTCGCTCTTTGCGTTGGCCAGGGGGGACATTGAATTAAGATCTATCGCGGCCGGTAGCGTTTTTCGTCGTCTGGCTGCCAAAGTAGCTTGCCGTACCTTTAGAGACGAGATGGCCTAGTATTTTGGGTTTCGCCATACATGCTACGAGAGCTTTTGTGATAGGTTCGGAGACCTTGGGCATTTGGGGTACAGACGCTAAGGCGTTTGTACATGAGAAAGCATTTGTACAGGCTGAAAGAAGTGACTGGTCACTCCTGCTCAGGTAACCAGCGTTATGGGTACTTGCTATGCAGAGGTACCCAATAACCCACCCCGGGTCGCTATTAAAACGATTTGTCGATTTTTTAAATGTTTATTATATGTATGTTAAAGTTTAAAAATGTGAAGGTACGTACTAACTTTTGCAACAGTCAATAGTTATAACATAGCAAACAAGTTATAACTTAATGATTTACAAGCGATTAAAGTTTTAGATTATTGACTTGTTTTCACTAAAACATCCATGTGCTTTAAATAAGTCAGTGTTTTTGATAGTTTTAAACGACTCAGTTGTTATGTACGCTTGAATGCTTTGATGAAATAGACCAGAGATACACAATCTCTTACAAAAATCGCTTCAAATAGTAGTTTCATTCAATACTTCCACATACTTCCCGTTCATGCATTTAAGAAGCCATTGAAATATATGCTAGTCCATACAATAAATGCTCCTGTGAACATATGTTATTATGGTTTGATACAAAGAACTGCAATTTACACACATATATAGTAGATATGGTTTTGAAATTTGATTTTATAATATCTTTATATTTCTTTTATAAATAATAACTAAGCATTTTTAGATGCATTAGTGACTGAAGCAGTAAAATCCTTCATTCAATGGTTCATTTAATCACAATAATTAACTATATTTGTACTGCAACATATACGTAGTATAAAATAACTTTAAACGAAATAAAACTTCTCATGTTTTACAAAATTAAATAACGTCATTTTTAATAATTATTTGGTAATTCAATACAAAGTGCGACCGACTCTGTTGTTTAAAACTTGTCGGCAACGATTTTTCGACTATCTTGAAAGTAAGTTTCAGCTCAGCTTAGTTCGTTTGTTCTTCGTAATACCCGCCCATAAAATCACTGCAGAGTCACTGTAACGTGTGCATTTCCTGGACGCATCTGAGCCGTTCAGCATTTTCGAGACGGCGATACACTCTTACCCTTCTTGATACGACAGGGCTTAAATCCAAACCGGGACTCATCGCAAAATAAAAATTTATCCCATTGCTCCTGGGTCCATGTCAAATGTTTTCTAAACCATTCCCTTCGATGGGCGCGATTTATTAATGGGGCGTCGTGCTCGTAGGCCGTATGCATGCAGCCTATTTCTTACGGTTTAGTGGCTAACAACAACACCGCTTGAGAATTGTAGCTTTAAACCTATCACCCGCGCCGTTAACATCGGCTGACGTCTTGCAATCAGTTGTATGTATCGGTCCTGTCGAGCAGTTGTAATCCTTCCACGTCGTGGGTGCTAATACAGAGGGATCCCCTGTATTAACAGACAGCTGCCAAAGACGACAAATTACGCTAATATTGACACCAAAATGCCTGATTTCTTATCGCTTGTAGCATTCCTAGAACTCAATGCATTTCATCAGTAGGCGTCGCTTCATGACAATAAATTTACTTACTACTCAATTTTTTCAAAAACTGTTTCTCAAAATGACAAAAGTAAGATAAATACTTACCAAATTTATCAATCAAAGAAAACATACGAAATCGAGTTTTTTTCTTTATTTTTAAATGAAAACAAAACACAATCGTAAAGTTAAAAAAAAAAGAAAAATTCAAATAACATTTCAGCAGTTTCTATAAGTTGACTTCGTACTACACACTATGTGATCCATAAATTGTTGTTCTGAGTGTGGGTGTTCTTTGTGTCCATGTCATGTATTTATGTTTGTAAAGTCCCCCGCGACACAGGAATGTATTCCTAAAGCGGGAGTTATCTAGAAAAAAATGCAAAAAAAGTATCTAAAAGTGATGCGTGTTGCAGAGACTTATTTGATGTGTGTATGTATGTATATATTATTATCGTTTATTGTTTATCACTGGCCCGATTCATAATAATATTTAAAACATAAGTTACTTTTTTTCTTTTTTTTTTTTTGAAAAGACAACTCCCGCATTAGGAATAAATCCTGTGTCGCGGGGGACTTTACAAACATACATGAAACGGACACAAAGAACACCCAGACTTAGAACAACAATTTGTGGATCACACAAAGTGTCGTCCCATGTGGGGTTTGAACCCACGACACTCGGCACAACAAGTAATTGTCACTACGGTATTTTGTTTTTATTAGCCAATGTTGTTACCATTACACAAAAAAAACATGATGTATCGCACGTACCGTATCTACTTGTACCCTATTGACTGAGACTTACTCTGCAGTAAACTAACAAATAGTTGGATATCCTTTATTGCAAATGCATTGCTATAATTGAATACAAAATGTTATCGATCAGACCTGTAAAAGAAGTTCGCATCCCTTCGACATAAAAAAAATATATATTTGCCAATGGCTTGTAATTTTAATGGGAACACTACTAAGGACACACTCAATCTAATCATCTTTCAAATACAACCCTAAAAACTTATTTTGCTTCGCATTGTTTTAAATTTATTTTAGTTAAAAACTTATTAAGACTACACTAACGCTGTTCGAAGTTTTGCTCATTACACATTTATGATCAAAGCTTGATCTTGTTCATAGTCTGCTAACATTTGAACAACAGGGTTGTTACATTACTTGAAAATACGCAATGTGTAAAACTTAAAACTACAAACATTAAACTAGTAATTAAAACTTGAATGCATAAAGGTAGTGTATCTTTACGCACCTAAATTTTGTATTATAGATGTGGTATAATTAATGCGTATAATTTACTTACTTGTTCAGACTGTATTGGTGAAGTACAGGGTATAGATCCCTATGCAGTCGTAATTGATGTAAAGCCCGTTCCACGAACTCGCAGAAGCAGTCGGCGAGCCACCTTTCCTCGTCCCGTGATGCCCCGGAACCAGAGTCACCGCTACCGCTGCCCGATATCGCTTCACATGCACACCAAGCTCGTTCCAGCTCCGTCAGCAGTTTATACATATATCTTGACAAGAAAATATTAATTGATGATGCTACTAATCGATAATTAATGATTCTGCATATCATAAAAACACTAATAAACTTATTATACTTATCAAAATTGACTAAGCCTCTTTACTAGGTTTACATTATCCATATCTATCTGCTAATTTTTTGTATACATTAAGCTAGCGCTTGTTACTAAAATATTGGTTTAATTTAATTGTAATTATACTACTACACAATCTACTACTACTACTACTATACAATCACAATTAAAACTTAAGCTAAAAGTAACAATTCCTAAGTTTATTTCTAATATTTTTGCCTAAAAATTCTCAGGATAACTAACTTATTTCTTTATTCATGGAAATCAGAAATACGAGTATTAACATTATTATCATAAATGTAACCTGATACTTATCCTTTGAGGGATATATATATATTTTTATCTATTAACTAAACGTGAATAAATAATTACTTTGGATCAAGTGGTGCATCGCCATTCAGCCTGCAGGCAGCGGCAAATCGCGCGATGGCTGCTTGTAAAGCGCTTAAGTCGCCCTGTATTGCGTGCTGGTGGAGTAACGTTTGGGCAGCGCCACATAGTTCACCTTCAAATAATGAGCTGCTCTCGCCTTCAGCATTTGAAGCCGCAATTCCCGCAGTCTCAACTTCGTGTGCCAATAGCACCCCAAATAAACGTTCGTGTTGGCGAACCTTCACAAACAAATATTCCTATAAGAAATTCGTCTTTAAAATATTGTGGTAATAATGAAATTAAATAATAAAAATTTAAATTCAACATAAATCAGAAAGGTTTAAATTATAAATTAAATATAAAATAAAAATGTACATTTTATTTTCTCATAGAAACTAATGTTACTAACTGTCAAGCGTTTGATGTTCGTCCCGTCAAATTACAGAACGTATTCATCTTGGTATAAGGTTTGTGTCAAGTTTTCCTTCTCCCTTAGTCGGCTCTTACGACACCCACGGGATGAATAGGGGTGGTGAGACTCGGTAATCTTAATCCGTTACCACACGGAACGTATTAAGTACAAGTAAAAAAAAAATCGAACGAGCTATCTTTAAAATTCGTATTTTAAAGATAGTTGTTTAAAAATTTACTTTTAGTTTAAGTAAAAAATTCGTTATTCAAGAACTTTCTTTACATTTATTATAACAGGCAATAGCAAGTGCCCATTTTATTTTTGTTCACTTAGTTAACGAAATGGAAATTACCATTTTCACATTTGTTTAAAAAATACGACATTGTAAATAAAGTCTCGTGGTTTTTATTACAGAAATCTTTTTTGAAGTGATAAATTGAACTTCAAATTTTATGTATCTATGTATATAGGGACTTTTAAAGCAATCCTAACCAGGTCATTCTATGGATGCCATTCAAACATCTTTGGCATTCGTTACGGGTAGTTTGAGCCCTAAAAAGTTCGACAACAGTCTTTCTACAGAACTTCGATATCACCATCACCATCACTAGTACCTCCTTCGGTTGTTGAGGACTGATGGCAGTCGCTCCTCGTAAAAAATTGAAGTTCAGCCGTATCGTTGTAGACTTAAAGTCAACCCTAACCTAGTTTGGATTGTCTTCGCTGGATGTAGGCTAAGCATGTTGTCATATCATATCATATGTATGGACTCATACTTGTGCCTGTCACAAATGTTCAGTCTATGTACAAAATTATTCAACAGTAAAATTAAAATTAGTTTAGACCCCTTGGAGAAAATACTTCACCCATATTACTTTAACATATTTCCTTTGGATTGAATAAATCTCAAAATCTACATAATGCAATGTAGGGCATGAAAAGCTAACTTCACTAAGTCATACTGAAAAAAGTACCTATGACGAATAAATTAGATTTATTGTGTCATCGCAATTTTGTTTCAGTCGCTCGCTCACTTGATTAGACGTTGCCTAAAAAGAGATTCAGTCAATGAAGACTTAAATACGTTATTGACTACGGGTGCTACAAATAATTTAAATACACAAACGAATGTCTGCGAAGGCGAATCCTTCTTTGCACATATGAATTATTGGTAGTAACTATTGAGTAATCAATAATTACAGTTAAGTCAGTTAGTGCATTAAAAACGTTAAACAAAAGCAGTGTGCTCAGGATATTTTATTTGGTATTGACCACTACACCTTTTCTTTCACTGTGTGTGAGTGTGAGATACATTTCTTTCGCTATAGTTCTTACCTGGTGCTCTTAGTGAGATGAGTAACACACAGATTTATTAGAAGTCCTATAGCACAATGTGGTCAATTTTATTTATGACTATGCGTGTTGTGACGGTTAGAATACGTATTATCACCACCCCTACTCATGGTTGTCGTAAGAGCCTACTAAGGAAGCAAACTAGGTCAACAGCACTGTAAAGAGAAGGAAAACTTGACACAAACGCTGCACCAACCCGTCTGGCCAGCGTGGCATTGTAGGCCAAAACCTCCTTCCTAAGGAGAGGCCTATGTTTAGCAGTGGACTATTAAAGGCTTTTGATGTGATGATGACATTATTTTGCCCACTCAGACGCTTCCTACAAATATTATGTTAATATTTTTAAAAGCTATATATACTATTTTTAAAAGATATATAATTATGTAAACCACGTAATTGGTAATTAGTGGGCTCGTAAAGTAATAAAAATCCTACCTCACTTTTGTAAGTTATCAGAAAACATCAGAGTAGTGTAGTATGTGACTAAGCCAACCAGCTTGTGGCAACTATTTTTTTTTTTGGAGATGCCCGATTAGTTTTGGAACCAGGGAGACCTTTTTTTTCAAGGAAATAAGCGTCCAGTGTTAGTCAACACACCATAACGCCTGACACCAATATCGATCGATCGATATTAAGCTTTTTTTGAAATAGGTACTTTGCTTTTTTTAATTTCCTAAAAAGACACCGAAGGTGAAATTCATTTTTTTTCCTACGATTCCATCGTTGTGTACATCCATTATTGTTCCTTACGGGAGAAATTAATTATTGATAAGTCGATCAACACAATGTGACGCCCGTAGTCTGTAATAAAATTCCTAAATTTGCTAGCTTTTATGATAATTCTGATAATTTTCTCTGTATCAAGACCCTGCCTAGGTACTTAGTCAACAACTCAGGAGATAATTTTATTTCACTACATAAAATGGTCTTTGTTCTCACATTTTTACCGAGTTTAATATATTAATATCTATTTTACGTTCAGATAAACAACTTATGTGATACACGATACTACTTTCGACTTTCATTAGGATAAGTTCCATTAGATAATTAAAAAACAAAGTAATATTACTTAAAGTAAACCGTAAAACGTACACTGGAAAAAAGTTCCATTAAGATGTGTACATTGTCAAAGGCAAACACATTTAAATCAACTATGATAATATTTAAGTAATAGCCATGTTTCTACTACCTTGGGTACACATGGCACATATGGGTTGGAAGGTATCCTCTAACAATCTCAACGAAGAATTGAAAATAAACCCTTTTAAAAAAAAAGTTGAACCGACTTCAAACAACACCGACAAAGCACTAAAAATTAAAAAATAATTACAAATCTAAGTAAAAAACTATAATAAGTACCGTCAATGTAACAGGTAACATGATAATACCAATAGTCCCTTCAAGTCTGTTTGAAGTCGGTGCCAAGCTCGATGCACAATAAGTAATACTGGTTACTAAGTAATACTGGTTAATACTGGTTCTAACCACGCTGGGGCTCATATGGCCCGGCTAATAATCCGAAGCGCCTTCATAGATATAATTGGCTTCATAAATATAATTGCCCCCCCCCCCCCCCGACTACTACCTGCGAATGTTGAATAGCCATAGAACAATGGTTCTAAAGTAAAAATTCATTCATCAATTCATTCACTGCCTATTTCAGACTTGGCACGTGAATAACTGGTTTTATCTTGTAGGCAATATAATTAAAACAAAAGGTTATGGGCCCGAAAACTAATCCCATCATCAGATCCTGAATTGGTGGTAATGGGACCAATTACCCTTTCGATTACAAAAAGAATTTTGAAAATCGGTCCACAATTGACGGAGAAATCACGTAACAAACGTACATAAAAAAAAAATACAGACGAATTGAGAACCTCCTCTTTAGTGTTTTGGAAGTCGGTTAATAAGTTTGTATATTTTTATCACAAAGTTGGTACCTGTTGCCAATTGTCATCGTCATGGCGGCCCGCTTCTCTGGCCGATAGCCATAGCCTGAGGCGAATGCGTCCCTGTACCGACGAACGTTGAGATCGGGCTTCCAGCTTGTACCACGCCTCCACGCCAGTCGAAGGAATTTCACGTAGTGGAATATTTACACAACCTGTACGAAATTTAAAATATTCTCAATTTTAAAATAGCTATTTCATTATATTTCAAGAATCTCTTTTTATAGGTTCAGGGTTCCTATACTTTAGGTTCAATTAATGTTTTACGTTTTCCTTACAATATCTATATTTCTATATTTCCAACGACACATAGTATAAAATAAATATATGACTAGATAAGTACGTTATAGTTAAGGATCATTGGGTAAAGTTTAGAAACTCTGCAGTACTGTTGTTCACTATAATATAAAAGTCGATTTTAACAATACTTGCAAATAATGACGAGGACTGGGCCAAAATATCAACCATGTAATTGTACTTTCATTAAATAAAAGTACGTTTACATGGTTGTTTACATTGGTCCATTTTACCAATAACGACTTTGATTACCAATCTAATACTTTTTGCTCAATTTCCAATATCTACGAATGTAAATTAAGGCGATTATTAATTAGCGATAATTGTTTAATAATAATATAAACAATTATAGAATTATAGAACAATTATAGATACTATTCGATTTAATTACGAAAAAAAGCTAAAAAAGTTTGATTCTATATTTTGTAGCTGTGTAAACTATTTGATCCATGTTAACAATAAGTCACGCAGCAGTTGTATTATGTTTAAATTATAAACTTGTGTTGTAGTATTAACTGTTCAATTGGTCACAGTGCAGTGGTATGTGGTAATATGCGTAAGTCGCTTACAATCCGTGTTCTCGGAGTTTAGTGTAGGTAGTAGTTAATAGAATTTAGTGACTAGGCACACAATTAAGTTTTAAATCTTTGATAAGTATATACTATTAAGGCTTTCACATAATTTAAATTGTACCTCGCGATGAGTTTGATATATTATGTAGGCGCATAAATGTCTCTAAAGATAAATGATAGCTCAGAACGGATTTTACGACAAGAGTGGATTGAGGGAGTATAAAGGCTTTCGTAACTTTATGTAAAATTTCTTGGGTTTTGTTAGTAGACATAAGGTTAAATTATTCTAGTTTACAACGTAAAATTAACTCATAGTGCACATATATGTAGAGTAATTTTAAACCTTATACTAAGAAAAGTGTGTGACTGTTTGTTTTTTCGAATAAAAATAAATAAATACAATAGTAATTTTTCTTTTACAGGGATTGTTGGTCGTCAATAGATGTAAGTTTGTTTCGAGGCTCCTTTTGACTATTTCAATAAAAAATGGACAAGCAGGTTATAAACTGGTTGTGCCATTATGGTTTTATCAGTTAACAATGAATTTTATTATAGTTTATAATGGAAAAACTGAGAAAACATGTTCAGATAAAACAGTAACGCTTCCTTAGACACATTGGAGCATCGTTCTTTGTTAGTTTTTGCCGTTGCTTTTATTTATTTTTTACTTATTCCATGTCTAATAGAAAACCGATCAGTTTTAAAATTGAAACAGGTTATATTTAAAAATTTCTAAATGCAAATGTGCAAATTTTACGGTTTTTATTTGACTATTTTTTTAATAACATATCAATTTAAACACTTTTATAAAATATATAAAAAATGTTCTAAATGATGCAAGGTCCCGAACTTCCCTGTAATAACGCTGAGATTAATTGGCAGGGAACTAAAGTCGCGGGTATTTAGTCCGCCTTTTGTACGAAATATCCGTAGCATCTTAAATAAATAGGTAAAGATTTAACACTGTCGGTTTGATCAAAATAATAAATAGATTATATTTAAGAGGAAGTTTAAATCGATGTAAAGAAAGTTTATATGTTAATTTTAACTAAAAATACGTTTAATCAATCAAGCAGTCGACTGGTGGATATAGGACTCCATAGGTCTTAGGTACACAGTTTTCTAACCAAATCTCAAGTTGAAATTGTATTTTCTAAAATAATCAATAAATTTAAATCAAATCCAGTATACTACGATGTTATCAAAGACATGAGATATACTCACCAAGAAAGTCGTCCTGGCTTCCCTGTCGGGCGCTTTGACAAACTTGTTTAAAGAAGCGTCCGAGGCCTCGCACTCCTCGTACTTCATTAAGACGTGATACAGCATCAAGCACTGAGCTCTCGTCATCATGGTCCCAAATATCCAGATGCAGGACATCCGAAGATATGTCATCGATGTCACTATGAATTAATCATGCACAATATGTTTATAATATTTTAGCTGGTTCCTCGTCAGGCGACAAAATACTGATATATTTGGACAGTATTTTGGATGACCTTTACATTTAATTTCGTTAGATTTCGCCTATCTCTTACTTACTTCCTACTTCACTAACCTCTTTAATTTCATTATCAATTTTATTACTCTCATAATTGTAAATTAATTGGTAACATATTAATTTGATTAAACTAATATGAATGGAGACATGTAACGAGGCTTAATTAAGGTTTTATACTCAAATTCTTATAAATATGTAGATTTACTTACAATTTGAAAGTTTCATTCCACTTTGGTGAGAGTGTGTGTGGTCTAACGCTAGTAGCGCGTATGTAACGAGCGGGTAGTCGTCCAAGGGAGTCACGATGCTGACGTCCGTCACGCCGCTTGAAACTTAGTCTGAAGCCGTGTTTACGTCCTTCATCTTCAGAAGCTCGCGGGGAAGCTGGTAGTGATGCTGGTTGTATACCCAACATGCAGTATGGGTCGCTGAATCCTAAGGTTTTTACAGAAATGAAAAACTTATCATGTCATTACTAAAACATCAATAAAAAACTGCAAGGTTCTTCAAACTAACTTAAAAGTGCTACTTTTGTCTTCGAAATTCAATATGTTGCCAAATCAAATGCCCGAAAACTAGGCCTTATGTCTAAAATTAACGTTAAAAACGTAAAGATGAGTTGTTCTTACTAAACGTAAGATTAACTCATCTTTACGTAAGTCATCTTACGCTACATACGAGTATTATCAAGGTCACTGACAAAACTTAATTTTTATAGAAACATTGGAAATCACAACTCTAAATTTATTTGCACTAATAATTTTATATAAGTATGTTTATAACTTTTTTCTATCCAGGGACCAAGAATAACGAAGGAGTTTAAATCGTCAATAAACCAAATGTCAGCAATATAAAAATAAATGTCACATAATATATGGGCTTATACGAACGAAGGCTAAGGAAAAATAATAATATTTTATGATACGTTAAATAAGTTATAATAAGATAAATGTTCAACATGTTGCCTGAACGTAAGCCATCCGAGAAAATGTTAAGAAGTTTGTTAAAGCTGATATTTATCATTCATGAATACGTTTTAAGGAAAAATGGAAGAACTATAAGAACAAAAAACTACTATAGACCATAGGTTGAGTTTAGTCGCAATAGTATAAGTTCAGTTAAGGGATCAAACCTGAGTGAGAACCCTTTTATCAAGTTTTGCCTTTGCAAAATGCTTTACGGAAAGGGTCAAAAAGTGAAGTCTCTTGTAAGTTATACATAACCAAAACAGTAAGCGTAAGGTAGGAGGGCTATAGTAATCACAAAATCAATTGCCAGACAGAACAATTTCTTTTAAAAGAGGAAAGTTTAGGTACAGAAGCGAATTGTTGTAGCATGACTGATACCTATGTATTATTACAGCGAAGCTTCCACTTTTAGGAAAATAGCTTATTTTGTTTCTTTTAGAAACTGTCTGTATAATATCTAAGTGACCTATTCTATTAATAAAATCGTTACTGGTATATTAGAGTGTCTTATATCAAGAGAAAAATTGCTGTTCAAGATGTATAATAAAAGGTACAGGTTACAATACTACCATTGGCGTCCTTAGCTTCGAGTCCATCTGCTTCAAGCACGGTACAGCCGAGCACGACTGTGGGCGGACGCTCGCTGCCAGCAGAACGTAAGGCTCGTGCATGTACTTCATGAGACACTCTGAATGCTTGTCGCGCATGCTCTATCACCTCCTCTTTGTACGCTGCAAATTGACCATCAGGAGCAGGAGCACCCACTGCGTTTTCTATGCAATACAGTACCTAGTAACAAACCTAGATATTAGTTTACTAACTACTAACATTATGATGAAAAAACTGACCATTACACCATAAATTCACAACATTATTACACAAGAACATTATAATGTCCACCGTAAGTGCACTCCTCATGTATCAATTATTTCATTTTAACTGATCTTGATTATTAGTTGTTTTTTAAATACAATAACTACCCAAAATGGAAAGCAATGTTTAACTTTTACTTTTATGCAATTTCTGAAATACCTGTTTCGTTGTGTGTAACAGAAAATTTAGGAAAAGTAGTGCCGAAATAAGAAATACCAAACGATAAACGATGGTGCTAAATTAGATAAATTCCTTTTTTTAGTTGTTTACAATAATCATACAAAGGTCACACAGCTACGTTATAACTATGTCGGTGTGGCTCATGGCAACATCGTTACGTCGTGTTAGAATGATAGCTGTCATACTTTCTGGCGCAAGGTCATAATATGTTGGAGCGAGGCGACTATCTTGTGCCACAGAACACGAACCAAAGAGGAAAGTAAGAGTGGTTGGTGGCTTAAACGACCATAAACGATGTCAACACGCTCAGGGCGAATAGCTTATTTCCGACGCAATTTCTAAAGCTTATACATAAGTTCACGTGTAGTTAATTGAGACTGATTATGTAAAGGACTGTGAGTTATTATTGCCTGATTAGATAACTTATCCATGGTCCTACTCACGTATACGAGATAGGCTTCCGATGTTAGTCATCTAGTAACTAAAACTAAATATAGTGTAAACATAAATTATATGACACTCGTCGTAGTGTGCAACTATTTCAGTGTGTGTTTTTGACTCATGACCTTTAAAGATTTTACAAGTTATATAATAATATTATCGGTAGGTTTCATGTGACAATTATACCTATATATTTTTTAATGTGGTGACGGATTAAGTATCCGTGTGGTGACGGATTAAGAATACGGAATGTCACCACCCCTATTCACCCCGTGGGTGTCGTAAGAGCCGACTAAGGGAGCAAACTACGCAAAACTTCGGCACTGCAAAAAGAAGGAAAACTTGAAACAAACCCTATACCAAACCGTCTGGCCAGCGTGGGATAGTAGGCTAAAACCTCCTTTCTAAGGAGATGCCTATGTCCAGCAGTAGACTATTATAGGCTGTTGTTGTTGTTGATATTAATTTATGTTATGTTTAACATTAAAAAGACTTTAAGCATAAGATTAATCTTTTAATATTTTGAGCCATCTTGGTGACATTATTATGTTGAGGAATGGCATAAACACTGAGTATTGTTTATCATAATAATTGCAAGAACGCGATCTTCTTCTAAATGAATTTCAAGAGCAGTCACAACGCTAGACTGAGTATTTTTAAATTTTATTAAATTTATGTACTTATATAGTATGTAGCAGTAAATTTATATTATATATGTATAGTAGTTCAATTTAATGTTATATTTTATCCAAAAGTAGTATTTTTTTTACGAATTACGTCAATTTCAATAATATATAATTATATATAATAAACATTGTTTTGTTATGAATACTTAGGACACACACTACAGGATGGCTATACAAAAAAAAACTATTTTATTTTTTATCCCTTCTATCTTTTTCTCTTTGAAATTGGTAAACTATTTTTTCCACTAGTAGAAAGCTAATGTGACAGGGAGTAAATAAAGTTATTTCTACATAGACGTGAGCGTGTCGTACCTAGTAAAGCCCTAAACTTAACTATGTACCTATAGTTACGTAAGAGTGATTATTATATTCATATAGGGAGCAAGTTTTTTTAACTGTTGTGTAAAAAGATATGTATAATATGTAAAAACTAAAATTTTAGTAGGGAAGTAAGCCTCATCATCATCATCATAATCATCATCATCAATACACTTTAATTTAACCCACTTTAGAAAGGAAGTTTTGGCCTACAATACCCCGCTGGCCAGACGGGTTTGAGTCAAGTTTTCCTTCTCTTTGCAGTGCTGTTGTCCTGCGTACTTTGCTCCCTTAGTCGGCTTTTATGACACCACGAACGAATTTGGCAGATTGAACCGAATTTCGCATTCGGCTAAAATTCAGTTCAAATGCCAAACATTCGATATGAGAAAAAAGTAAAATCTTCTTTTAACTTCATTTAATAAAAAATTAAAAAATTAAACAAGTCCTTTATATGCTCTCTAATCAGTCATTTATTTGTAGGATTTATATATATAATAACTTTATGCACAAAATTTACAATGGCGGACTCAATGGCATAGGCATTCCCTAACAGTCTAACGTAGGATGGTGTGAAAATGAATGAAAAGGTGCACTACAAAGGTGAACAAAGAATAATTAAATATTAAGAAATACTGTACCGCACAGAAATAGAAGTGTATATCACAGCATATATGTATATATATATATAAAACACATACATACACATTTACATACATACATATATTCTCTAATATTTCAGATTGATTTAGCATTTTGTCTAATGTGAACTTACCTCTGTGTATAGATGTTCATGTTCTTTGTGAGATAATTGAGCAGAAACACTGGGAAGCCCAAGGTCATGTGGCGCTGGGGGTGGACGTTCAGCCCTCGCTTCAGCTAGCCTCAACGCTGCAAGCCTTCTATTTTCTTGTCGCCAAGCCAATGCGGTGAAGCTCTCGAAGTACGAACCGTCTGTATCTTGCACTCTAAATAAAAATAAAACAATGACAAAATAAGGTAAGTGAAACATATTTCCATTACTTTATGAATTTTATTTTTAGACGATTTACAAACTATGAACAAAAAATATTCTGTGGTTTAGAAACGGGTCAATTTTTTGTTTTCAAATTTTTTGCAACTGTAAATGCTGTCATAATGACTAAAATGGACAAAATAGGCATTAGAGGACATTCTTTAAAAATATTTGAAAATTACCTCAGTAACAGAACACAATGTGTTAAGATAGGTTCATCAATTAGTGAGTGTGTTTCCCTTAGCTACGGCGTTCCTCAAGGCTTAATTCTTGGCCCAACACTCTTTTTAATTTATATTAACTCACTCTGCAACCTTAGCATACCAAACTGTTCTATCTATACTTACGCCGACGACACAGCCCTACTTGTCTGCGGCTCTAGCTGGCCTGAGACGTTCTCTTCAACTGAGTATGCTTTAAGGAGTGTGATGCTCTGGCTCTCAAATAATCTCCTAACTCTTAAAGTAAATAAAACAATGTACCTTCACACTCACGTCCAGTACACAACCTAGTCAGAAACATTTATGTTAAAGGCTCACAATTGTCCACCTAATAGTAATAATAGTAATCTTGTAGCTGTCGAGCCCTGGTTAGGAGCGGTAACATTAAATACCTCGGCATAATAATTGACAACCATTTAAATAGTTTGACGTCACGCGTTCGCAAGCTTATATGCGTCTTCAAAAAACTTCGCCACTCAGCAGAACATGACATTCTTAAAATGGTGTATAACTCACTCTGCCAGACTATTGTGTCATACTGTATACTCGTTTGGGGAGGTGTGCCAGAACGATCTTACTGCCGCTTGAACGCGCACAGCGAGAAGTACTAAAAGTCATGACCTGTAAGCCGTTTAGATATCCCACCACTTGCTTTTACAATGAATGCAAACTTCTCGCTGTTCGTAAGATCTTTGTGCTCTAAACGGTACTACGAAAACACAATACTCTACAATTTGATCCAGAGTGCCATAACACTCGCAGACTGTATAGAGTTTGCCCTACTGTCACTTACAGAAGCGCACTTGCAAAGTGCAGGACACTTTTACAACACCATAAATAAGTGCTGCAATATATGTCATCTTTCAAAATTCAAAATTAAAATTAAGGTAACTAACTGGCTGCTCGAACAAGACTATTAACAAACTTCCGTTTGTTAATAGTCACGTCTTCCGCGCTACTTATACTTACATCTCTATGACATTCACACACACACACACACACAAACACACACCAATACATACCACACGCTTATAACTCATTCACACATGCATGCATTCTCACAAGCAAGAATATCGGAAAATGTTTTATAATATAGAAAATACTTAGTGAATGTTAGTTTTGGATGAGAGAGAGACTGGTACCCACAACACAAGTTTAATCTTACCTTGGGTATCAGAGCCTGACTATACTGTGTAATTAAGTTAAGAAAATCCTGTTATATTTATAGAAAATTTGTACCTCATTTGAAGTTAATAAATATTATTATTATTATTATAATTAATTGACCTCAGGCGGCGATCGGCTGTGTACGCGGAGCGGTAACATCACACATTGGCCGTTGCCGCTTTTACTACATTCGAATCGAACGAAAAATCTTGATTACTGCGTCATCAGGATGAAGGACATGCGTTTTTAATTAGTTCATCCAGTAAGTACAGTCAGTCGGCCCTTAGCCACCGCGAATCACTGAGTGTTACGCTGTTCTGTGTCCTTGTAGATGCGATCACGACGAAATATTTTAGTACAATTTTTTTTTTAAATTTTAACCGACGTAGGTTGAACCGTCATATCTGTTATTTTTTTGTGATTAGTTATAGGACAGGTTGTATAAATTATTGTATCTAATACCTTTAAATGAGTATTCTTGTAAATATATAATTTGAATCTCGGAAAAGATTCCGACGATTTTCATTTAATTTAGTATGCAGGGGGTTTCGGGGGCGATTAATCGATCTAGCCAGGTTTCATTTTTAGAAAATTACCAATAAAAAAACCGTACCAATCTCGGTCATCCAGGTACTGTTCATAAAATAAAACACGAAGCATCTACATTATGTATTATTTATGATTATTAAAGTAATGTTGTATTTTTCCAAAAACGCGCCAAGTACAAAAAGTAATACCATCGCCTTTGATGACGGCACATTGCATAAATATATAATTTTTAATAAATTATTAAAGTATATAATATATTGATAATAGTATTAGAATAAATATGTATAATATCCATTTAAAAAATGAAATGATAAATGGAAAAACATAAATTATGCGAATAATTTCAATATTTTTATCTTTGAAGTTATGGCTCGAGTCATGAAATATCCAAGTGATCGAGTTAGCCATTAAACCTATCAAGGAAGTTATATTCGCGCGTACTGTTTGTGAATTTGTTCAAAGTTTTGTTCTCACATTTGGAGTCCTGAAAGATCTGGTTACAGATTTTTTGCAATCAATTGTTTGAAAATATTAGAAACATATATAAATAATAGAAAAAAATAAATTACTACAACAGGATATGTTTATCCATACACGCTCAACGATCATTTCTATATCCTCAAAAGAGTAGACAGGTTGATTTATAAGTAAAAATACAAGATATTATTATTCATGAAATTCTGTTGGGCTTTGAGTAACTACTGTTTTAATATTATAAAAATAAGAGTGACTATATCTTTTTTAGTTCTACAACTATATATGTATGATTGGTTTAGTTATAAAATGTAGACTATAGAGCTAAGAGCTGCATGAATACGCCACGAGTATAATGACGTTTCCGCGCTTTGTAAGGTTGATTATGTTTTCTCATATTATATATTCTGACTAAGGGACGTAGACGTTGAAGCTTCATGTAAAAGTAACACAAAGGTCTTCCGACGTGTGTAGGAAACTGCTGATATGTGCTTGTAGGTTAGTTTACTCACTATAATTCACATCCACATTAGTAAGACGTAATGTTATCATAGGCCGTACAAAGAACACAAAAATATTCTAAAGTAACAGTATCATAGAATTCGTCAAAAAGGAGATATCTATCGCAAAAAGATTATTTCTGAATTATACAGATAAATATAAACAATTTCAACCATTTTTTTTTTTCGCGGGGAATGCTTTTCGCACCATTCGTTGGGGAAACGCAGGGCGTGTGTGGGACTCCCGGAGAACCAGTCTACCCACTAAACCCCGCGGCGGCCTACCTCGGCAGTCGGAAGGAGCTCCAGAAGCCCCTTCCGACTGTCTACTACCCCATGTCTGAAGCATATCCCGGGGTGACCGTAGTCACCGTTGAACATTTAAGAAAAAAAACGTATTATCAAAACTAACAGTTCACGTCAGGTGGGCCTCCTCCCTTCACATTTTGCTTACTGCTTTGCTACTGTGGTATCCATTATATTATCATTTCTTCAACCATTCCTGAGAACATTATTTATGTGATACGCCATAGCATTTCACATTACGATCTGAGAATCAAATCAAAATTTATTACGACCAAGCTTGTCCCAGCTTAGTTGTAATAAGCTATGAAACCATTGTGATGAGATGAAACAACACAAACATAGCCATTACTATAGTAATTTTGCTTAATTCACATAGAACACTCTAATATTCTTAAAACAACGTATTCTCAGTATTCTCAGCAAAACCCACTCGCTCAGCAAACTAGACGACATTGATGAAGGTTGGCTGGCCGTTGACTCAAGAATTGTTATTTTGTCTAAGTGAAAACATTTATGTTACAATATATTTCGAGAATGCGACGTATTTACTCCATGCTACATTTCCAATTTAAGCTGTCAAACGTGACGTTATAGTGATATTATACATGATAGTTAAAGATAATACATCAAAATTGGGTCACGTAATAGTCATTAATTAGTACCGTATTTTATTATATGTCTTTAAATGACATCATTATTTTAAAAGGAAATGGTTAAAATTCTAGAAAAACAAATGCGTACCAGCTCTCAGTAAGTCGTAATTGATGAAAATCCAGCTTAAAATAATTAAAAATGTAAATGACGGGCCTGTTGGTCTAGTAGTTAGTGACCCTGACTGCTAAACCGGAGGTCTAGGGTTCGATTCCCACCCAGCACAAATATTTGTGTGATGAGCACGATCGTTTGTTCTGTGTCTGCTCATCACCAGAGTGTAATTTATTTAAAATATGTATGTATTTAGAAATATATGAGTATGTTTATCAGCAATGTGGTTACCATAGCACAGGCTCTACCTAGTTTGGGATCAGACAGCATCAGACACATGTGATTTTCTGTTAAATAATTTACCAATACACAGTTTTTGCTACATTTATTTCTAGGTTTCTGCTTCTAGGTAATTCGTGTGCTTAACAAATTGGTTGTGCGAGGCAATTTTTTTCTTGAAAATCGCATAGTGGTGGTGTGCTAATCATCCAAGTGATGGGGTGGATAGTTTGCCGCGTGGAATGCAGAGTAAATCTACATCTCTACGCAATGCCAAGGGATCAAGCGAACAACTGACGATTCTAGTCACTCTCTGTTGAATGCGGTGTAGAGGATGATGCTTTTTGCCCTTACAAAGAGCATAACGGTTCCCTTTTTTGGAGTGAAATTGGACTAGGTAGAGTTTTCCATTTAGGAAGTTTCGTCTTTGAGCACAAGTTTATTTTGGCGCCCAAAGTTGGCGCGATCTGACATTGAATTATGTTGTCCAAATTTAATTCCAGAATTATTATTCTGTTGCAAGTCAACAGGTCCATTGCCATGCGATGACGATACCACTGGAGATGCTTTTTATACCGATCGTAAATTGTAGATAGATATATCTACAATTTTAGTTCCTGACGTTATGAACGTTGTTATCCAATTAGAGGAAATGAATAAATAATCTTATAAATAATGTATGTAAATAAATGTTATCCCACCAAAAACATTTTCATACTACAAACTCTACACCTTGTTCAAAATACATGACTTGGACGTTTCGTTACTACAAGAACTATTGTAAAATAGAAAAGTAACGAAGAGTGAATAAATTTTTCACCTGATGCCCATGGGACGGCAGCGAAACCGCCAAGCCACATATTTTGACTAAGGTGTAGAGTTTATGAAGTTAGCGCGTGTAGAGTTAGAAGCTTGACTCTACATAAGATGTGATAACTTTTTGACAGTGCGAGCCATATGGTCTGGTCCTAGCAACATTTTACATGAAAATGTTTTTAGAGGGTTAAAGTTCCAAGTTTTAAAGTTTTAGATTTTTGATGATGTTTGTGGACTGATACTCACTCACTCATTTTAAGCCATATTTATATGTTTAATAAGTTTACTATTGACATCATATCCCGAATATCTGGTATAATCCGAATCTAAGTTATGAGGGTTCAAGAAAACGATGAAGCGCTACGAGAAAAGGTAGGAAGTGTTATTGCGCTTCGCTTGGCTCGTCTTGGCGGATCCTAAAAGGCATAGAAGCCACAAAATAATAAAAGCTAACATCTGCTACAAACAATTTTGGTTTTGCTACTTTTTTGTTTCAGAATAAAGCATCGGCCGTTATTATGTACTGAAACATATAAACTTTAAAATTTGACAAATAGCTTAATCGTTATGAATACTAAATGGTGTACAATAGCCCATTACGCTTAAAAACACAGTTTTCAAATATTTATTTCGAATAATTAATATCACTATAAACACTGTCTTCCTAATTAAACTTATGTATAAATATGTGACAACTGTTACACCAATCACACAGAAACATGCAATCCATACTTAGTTTATACCCTTAATGCGATACTCGAACATACAATATTTTGGAACAGAAAGAGAAGGTGAGATGTGGAACCGAAGTAAGCTGTTCAATATTTTCCTTATTATATTTAAAATAATATTTCTTTATTTGCGGGATCCAGTTACTTTTCAAATCTACTTTGCAAACTGGGTATTTGACAAAATGAAAATGTACTAACTTCTACAAGTATGGTGAGAAAATAAGGTATGCCAGTTTAAAAATTATCAACCACTGTTAGTATTCCCCTTACTGAATTAAAATTGAATTAAAAAGATGCTCATTGTAAATTTTATCTGCTCCTTAATAAGAAAACAGTGAATACTAAAATAGAATTTGGGGATCCAGACTTCGTGTTTTAAAACTAACACTATTGGGCAGTTAATGAACCAGCTGTCTTAATAAATTGATCCGAAACGGTTCCTAATCTGCCAGGTGCACTTGGCTGATTGGAAAGTACGACCAGCATAATAGGCTACAATTGATTAGTTTCTTAGGAATTGGCATGATACTCTAGGTACAGCTTATAAAATCATTACGAAATTGATTCAGGATATTTCTGCTACTATTACTATCTTGCTGTGTCTAACACAGGCTGCATTGCACCACGCCTATTAAGGCATCATAAGTGGTATTCTTACACCTTTTATCGAAACTATTTTCATGAAATGAACAAGTTTTAATGTAAAACAACTCATTAAATAACAACCCAATTGTGAAAATTAACTACGAGTATTTACCCAATTGGGTAGGTAATAAATCAATAGAAGATTCCGATGATTAATAATATTTGTAAGTAGGTCACCTGCCGACCTGTTGCACGTCCTTGCTCATGCCCCCTCACCTCTCGTGGTAAATGCCCATCCTCCACATGCGACCCCCTCTCACACCTATACATTACCCCTCATCCGCCGCTTTTACTCTGCAATCATCACGTCGGTTTTTATTTAATCGAAGACCTCTCGCGTCAACTTACGTCAAGCCACTGCGACGCTAATGGACCAGACCGCCTGAGGCAAACAATTTATTACATGTAGACGTTTAAGAGTTAGTGGTTCATGACATTGCTGACATTTATTCAAATCGTTTGAAAGGAGCTTTAAATTTATATACATATTTTTATATTGCCAGGGTCTTAAAGTACAAGAATAGGCTGATGGTTTTGTCAATGCTTTTAGTCAAATCGACAAATATTGTGACAAGGAGCTTTAAATAGACATCCAAGAAAATGTTGTATCGAAACTTCGTATCGTAGTATACGTTCACCTTAGTTTCACTGCTCAGTGCTCCGCTCATAGCGTTCGTGATGTTACATAGCCTGTACTCATATTAAGCCATATGTAGATAAATTATGAGATTAAAATGATTAAACACACACATACATAGTTAAACAAAAAAAAACTTTTCAGATTTTATTGTGTCATTCAGATTTTATTAATCTTTTCATATCCTACTTAAATATGAAAAGATTTAAAAAAGATTTTATTTTATTTACTTTCATATTTTCTATGTACCCCTGTATTTAACAGACCTATTTCTTTACATATTTTTTTTATTACTTACTTTATGTGATGATCGAGTCTACAATTTATTTATCCGTGCGTTCGCAATTCAGTGTGTAGTTGAAAACATAAAACCTGTTTTTTCAACTTGCCCCTAAGAATCTATCTAAGAAATGTAGAGAACGAGTAACTCTTAAGTAATATATATCAATAAATACATCATATTCCAACGCTTAATAAATAATAATAAGCTTTAATTACAAAAAAGGTTACATTTCAAATCACAAAAAAGCAACCTGCCTCTTTTATCAAATTTTTATTTTACCAAATGGCTCCCTGTTGTTAAATTTATTAATCCAACACTGCTTATCTTCACGATGTCGACGAAACTGTTATGCGATCCTACAGCAACACATGTTACAGTAAGTCACATTTAAAATAAGATAATATTAGATTTTACGTATATCTTCGTTAAATAATATAATTAATAAATAGGTCTCTCAATCTTTAGTAATTACATATAAAAACTCACTGATATTGATATTGGATAATTGGATAAAAGTAATTAATTAGTAATTGGATAACCTCCTTTCTAAAGAGAGGCCTATGTCCAGCAGTGGACTAGTATAGGCTGTTGATGATGATGATGATGATGGATAAAAGTGTTCCAAATTCAGCTACATGTCTATACAAAACTATCCCGGGAACGTTTGTATACTTGTATATCTTCTTTTGAGGACAACTCATCACTATTCGTAACATGCTTCGTCTTAGGATTGTAAGGAGTTACCGCTAATTTGCATTTCCCCTTTAAGCGGGAACACGTTAATATCCGCTGAAATTCTGTGATTTCCCCAATATCATTATTTGTGTTGATAGCCTTTGTTAGAGTGAAGATATTTCGAATGAGACGTGACATCGTTTTTGGAACCGAGTCAGAAAATGAGAATTTATAATCAACTAAATTTGTAACTTAGATACTAATGACAAAGGTTCTTACCCAGAATTGACGGAATTATCTACTTCTGGCCACGACAGGCGTCTCTTGCAAAATGCCATTGTCGGTTTTTCTGGAGGTTGTTGATGTCGGGGGACGCGTAGAGACCCACCTCGCCGTGGTGCTTGTGCTGGTGCAAGACAATCTAATGTGCGTCGACGAGCGCTCAGCGCGGATGCGCCCTCCGTTGGTACTACTCGAGGAAATCCTAAAACAATAGATTTAGATATTTAAATCTTACTAGCTTTTGCGCACAGCGCCGCCCTCTTGTATTTCGGTTAGCGCGAGCGTGAGATAGTTCTAGAGCAGTTGTGTTTACTACCACGGTAATTAAAAAAATTGAGTAATCAGCGCATTATGATGATATTAGGATGAATTAATTTTCTACACGTGTAATAGCAGTGGAGAGTTAATAAAATGGAACATGAACGCATATTTGTCAGTCATCGGTACACTCTTATTATAATTAGCAACAATAATCCTGTCAGTATCCACCCCGTAATTGCAGTGGGCCGATGTGATACCACCTGTTTTGAGAACTGATTTTGGTATCTAGATAGTATAGTAATTTCTTATCCACGAGTAAATTTATTCGTAAATTGATGATGGTAGTTCATCAACAATTTAGTCTGCCACTTAGTCTATGCAAACACTCACCATTAGCAAGACGTCGGCAAATATCAGATCACATTAAGTGTTCTTTGTAGGTCTTTGCCCTTTTTTAAAGTTTAGTTCATTCAATTTGGTCCAAACACTTGGACATCAAAACTTGTCAACGGTAATACTTTAAACGGTAATATTTTGACCTGTTATGCATCTGGCTTTAATATACACATTTTTTCCTTTCTCAGCAATTACAGACTATAATAATTATATATCTTTTGTAGGTATATACCTATGTTATGATTATACATATAGTTAATATTGTATAATATGTAAACTTATATAATTTATTGACATTATATTTACTTATTTTGTTTAGATTCTATTTCTGTATATATTTGGTAGTATATTTCAATTTTCTTTAATTTTACGTACACACAACTTTCTCTTGTTGTGCATAAATAATCTCTTCACTCATAGGTTTGCTGGAAGAAAACTCAACTATGGGCTCACCTTTGTGCGTTGTTCTTTTATGTATTTTTTGTAAATGTTTATTTTGTGTCCAAAAGAAATAAAAAGAAATAAATAAAAAATATACCTAGTTTTCGGAGCATGTGTATTTAAATAAATATTGACATCCTCCAGTGCAGTAAATGAGTATCTATTTTCCTCTCAATGCCTTAATAATTAATATTTTTTCGGACGTTCGTCATTAATTAATGTCACCTACTTCTCAATTTGACATCCATCGAGCTTTGGTGGAGTTTTAATACTTTTAAATTACATATTATAACAGAACTAATTATCTACTTATCATTTACTCGTAGAATGATTGGTATTCTGAGATACATCGCCTAAGTTCCAGCGTTCAATGAATCTTTGGCATGTATGCATTCGTGATGAATTAGTTAAATTATTATTATTTTTGTCAATGGCACAAACTGAGCTCGTAACGTAACGTATTTTACATTTATACATTTGATAAGTACCTGGTACGTATTAACGTGGTACGTATTAACGATTAATTGGTATTAATTGGATTAATTGGTTGGTAATTACGGAGTGTTACCACCCCTTTTCATCCCATGGGCGTCGTAAGAGCCGACTAAGGGAGCAAACTACGCAGGACAACAGCACTGCAAAGAGAAGGAAAACTTGAAATAAACTAAATACCAACCCGTCTGGCCTGCGTGGTATAGTAGGCCAAAACCTCCTTTCTAAGGAGAAGCCTGTGTCTGGCAGTTTACTATTAAAGGCTGTTGATGATGATGAAGCATATTTATGTTTACTGAATAGAAAAAGGTGTATGATTACAACACAAACTTACTGTGATGTTTAGGCACTTCTTTAACACGCACACATACACACACATTAATATATAATGCACATTATACGTGTCAATATATACATGGTTTTGGACGAGCTCAGTCTTCTAATATATGAATTACTTGCTTATAAGGAGGCTTCAATCACGAACGAACTGCGCAAAAGATAGCCTACCATTATGGGGCATTTTACTGCGATTTAGAGGGATAATAAAACGCCCGAGACATCTCGGACATAAATATCTCACGAGATAGGAAAACTGTAAACTGTAATTTTACGATTGTTTCTACTTATAAGAGAATAACTTTGCAGTGATTCCAAATTAGTTACGTTTTTAATCATAAAAAAATTATGCACATCGTTGGGCATCAAATCTTAAATATCTATATAAAGTTTTCTGTATAATAAATAGTGGAATATGGCTTTAAAGTACTCATCTATGGTTATGTATTTGGTTTCGCATTATATACATTATAATGGTTGCTGAAATTAAGTAAGATCAAGAAAAATACAATACACACCACCTATTATACTCGTAAACGAATATATATGAAGAAGGTATATGCCGTGGCGATCATAAAATAGATCACTTCATCACGTGTTCATTTATTTTATTATTTATTATTTGACACATTATGATGAATTGTAAATATACTTTATGTAGTATTTTATGTATATATCTTATGTAATAAAAGTAATTTTGGACACTAGTGAGTTCTTAGACTGTTTAGTGTAACTTGAGGGTATTTCTATCTCCGCTGCCATTTTATTTATCCAGTTCTTTTTCTCTAAACCAAGGATCACAACATGTTCGAATAGTGTTGTACGAACTCCACATTATGTCAGTCACTTATTATTAATCTTTAACTTTTGAAAATTTGTAAACGTAAACTCTCACCTCTCATAGTGGCGGTCGAAGGTTGCGGCGGTTGCGGTTGCGACTCCTCAGCCGACCGATGCCTCGAGGGTGGGGCACGACGCGGCGAAAGTGCCAACCCGGCGACACTGTCCGCCATCCCCGCCACATACTGACCCAACGAAGTCAGGAAACTCATGATCACGGGCACTCGCGACACTCAATAGGAACCACTCATTTGTTCACTGATTCTTAACTTGAATATTCACTGAAGGTACAAGCATTTTAATTAACACTGTGTGAAAAACACTTTGTTACATTGTCCATAACTGTTGATGTTCATTTTCAGTATATTAACCTGAAAATAAAATAAACTGACGTTAATTTAGTAAGTACAACACTTCTTATTCTTACTCGTACATAATATATAACTTACGAATTCTTAAATAATTAAATTATACTTTTCACTAGCTTAAATACAAGCTTTTGCAAGTGTCAGCGATTGGGTTACCATGTGTCTGTTTTCCACAGATCGTATTGAATCAACTCAACATTATTATGACCTTAGTACAAATTTTATGATTTATACATTACACACTATAAGATTCACATTAATGAACAATAATTCCATAAACATATTTTTAAAGGAATTTTTCTCTTCGCAAAATATTTTTCATTTCTGGAACTTCTGTAAATCTCCTACGAAATGATAAATATCATAAATACCTAAAAACATGAAAACGGTAAAATAAGTGTCTCTTAAAATATAGCTATTAAAAGTTTAAGACTTGACTTCTTATAGCTTAATATTTTCTAGCAATAAATTCGAACAATAAACATTTTATGCTCACAAGGATTGCTTTTGTAATGCTTTATAGACACAATATAGATAAAACAATTTCATTGTTCCATTTTTTTGCATTGCCATAGAAAATAGTTTACAAATAATACCTAAAGGTCATTTTCATTTCTGACTTAAGTACTCTAATAAGGTCAAAGATTTATTGCTCACAGGTTGTTGTTAACAATATTAACGCCGTTATGAGAAATAATCCACGCCTGCTATTAACGTGCCAAGCTCAATAAACGCAGTCTCTCCATGTATACTTAAGAGAGAAAATAAACAAAAAATGGAATGTACTATTTGGCGTCATTAGAAAATCTATTACAAGGGAGCTTTGTCCTCCATAATAATCCCATCTATTGAGTAACTAGTTACAATATTGAGAATTGAGCACGGCCAGCACGCACTAGGAATAAAAGCTTCTGGGATTTGATTAGGCAAGGGTTGTTTAAACACACCGCACGAACATATAAAACTATATCTTAGATGAACAATTTTGATTTTGAATCTCTGACCTTATATTATGATTTCACATACCCAGTAACGTTTATTAAAGTTTTACGGTTTTTTAAACAAATACTACAACGATGAGGGGAATGGTACCATACCCTTATTGGTGCAATTCACTCTAGTCCGAAGTTCTTAGTGTTTCTTATTGCTCGCGTGATTGTCAAGGAATAAGAAATAAAATAACTTCAATATAGTAAAATTCTAAACGATCATATCAAATACTTTCATTAAAAGTTTGAGTTTAATGTTTGAATTAAAATGAGCCGGCTTGAATAAAATTTATACCGTCTTTAGCGGCAAATCCATTACTGTCTGAGATAGATAACTTTGGAGCAATCTTGAAGCATTTTTAGGAGAATAATTGAAGATGGAATGGAACGGAGTACAATAAATCCTTCTCAATCAAAGCGTTTCAATTCTGGTTTCAAGTGTAAAATTTAGGTACAATTTATGTTCTGCAAACCAGAAAGAAATTAAATTAGTGTTTTGCTATCAAAGTAGGTACCCTTCTTTTAAATACACACTACACAAGTACTTTAGTCGAGAAAAAGTATTTCGATTTGTAGGGTATTTTAGAGATAGATATACATAAATTAATACCTATATAAATTATTTTCAATCAATCTTATTGAAGAACTTCAAACTACATAGCAGCATTTATGAGAAGGAAGTAAAATCAAATCGCACATGTAAATTATAAAATACATTTCTCCTAATTTTTTTTTATTTTTTTTTCTAGACAACTGATATAAATACATATAGTATTTTTTTTGTAAATACATACTTATTATACATAGAAAGACCCAGACCAAATCAAGCATTAAATGTTCATGCACACAAATGTTTGACTTGAGCGGGAATCGAACCCTCAACCTTTGGAATAGCAGCCGTTACAAAAACCACTACGCCATCCGGTCGTAAAAAACAGCTTCGACTGCTTTTTAAGGGTGACTGAACAAATTAAAACAGATTCCCCAGATGACTGCTCTGTCCCCTCGAGGACGCCCTCGTTTCGTCCGCGCTTAATTTTGTAGAAATGAGGTTTTGACAGAAGTATGTTGAATAATATATTAAATTTCAGCGATTAGTTGACGACGGTTGAATGCAGGTAGTTAAATATTTCTTTGATTTGTTTATCATAGTCTAAACAAGGGTTTTCCATAAAATTAATCGTAAAAGTTGCTAAGAAACAAGATGAACCCAAGGAAATAAGTAAGTTTTCTGAGAATTGTAAAATAGAAGTGAGCAGAATAATAAAAGTATTCTGGGACCCATACTGGGTATAGATAGCATTATACTCGTATAATATAGCAAATCTTTTACTATGAGACTTTTACTTTTACTTTGTGTCTCACAAACAAAAATTTTACACGATGAACACAGCTTTGATTTTTACAAACAATAATTAATTTAACAGTAAAAAATATGAAATTATCAAATAGGTCGACTGCTTTTAAAGGGTTACTGAACAAATTAAAACAGATTCCCCAGATGACTGCTCTGTCCCCTCGAGGATCCTCACGTTTCGTCCGCGCTTAATTTTGTAGAAATTAGGTTTTGTGGAAAATTCACACTTCACATTTTACCACGATGTGTCTTTAAATAGATAATTAGAATTCTAATAGTAGTTTAAATTTTTAATGTAGAAATTTAAATATACTTACTAAAAAAGTGAGATAGTAAATTTGAACTAAAAAAAGATGTGCCTTAGGATGTTGATATTAAGGTGGAGATATTAACAAAACCCAAAGAGGAAAGGTGTTTTTTAAAGGCTTTAGGTAAAACCATTATTTATGTGAGTAAGTCAGATAATTCTAACAAATACTGGTCTATCGTTGGGTAGCTTAGTCAAGACTCTGATTAAGAAGATGCTATTTTCATATATATAATATATTTACAGATCATCATCAATACCCTTAAATAGTACACTGCTGGACATAGGTCTCTCATTAGAAACGAGGTTCGGCCTCACCATACCACGCTGATATAGGGTGTGTGTTTTCCTTTTCTTCCCAATGCTGTTTTGCAGCGTAATTTGCTCCCTATATTTTATTCTTTTTTTTTCTGTTTAAAAAAAAATTATATTTTTCATTATAATATATGTATGTATATGTGTGTATGTATATATATATATATCTAGATATGTATTAATATGTGCATATGTGGGTATATGTATATATTATTGCTTATATTCGTCGATTCCAAGGACAAAATAGATGTACTTTATAAAAATCCATTCATTTATTAGCTTCCCATTAGTGCACCTACCAAATTCTTTCTCGGTGTCGCCCAATAGGTCGACTGGCAGAGAATACTTTAGGCATTAAGTACGCCGATGTACATATTTTTACAAAAATAAATAAATGATTGAAATAAACTTATAAATACTATTTTAAAATTGAACAATATTTTTTTTATGTTTTTTCGATTTTTCCCTTTTTCAGCGTTCTCAAATACTAATAATATTATAAAAGCACCCTTGGTCATCATTTTTTTTTGCAAATACAGAGCTACGTCGTCTGGACCATGGTGGCTGCCCCTTCCATTTGCGCAGCCGTCGAACACGCAAAAAGTACCTGTTCTTTATTAATTATTTACACAAATTTATATTTACCAAATGATCTTAAACATTTGGGTATTTGTAGTTAAACTCCCTCTTAATACATAGGTGTCAAAATTATAACGTTTTCAAAAATTAAACCCCCTCAAATATTTTGTTATAATTGTTATTGCAACCACTTCCTGATAGTTTAATCTTTAATTAAAAAATAAATCACTCCAAAGGAATTTGCCGGGTTTTCATTAATTTTTCGCCAATACTAGAGGAAGGAGGTAATTCGAGAATTACTAATCCTTACGAGATAGCCAAAAATAATGTACTTACTACAGAATTGTATATCTTAAAAAGATCTACAAAAAAGTCAGTGATGGGTAAATGTCTATCTCCTAAGTGTAACCCACAGCAACCATTTTCATCGTTTTAAATTTCCAAAAAAATGGGTTATTTACGAGGCTATTTTAAAGAATACATTATTATTCCTTATCCAATTAAATTTACGTATTTAAACATTAGATTCGTTGTGCATTTAATCTAGATTAAAATTGCTCTTTATATTAAATTATCATTAAATGAATATTTTAGAAGCTAGAGTGGTGGCAGCGGCCGGCAGAATCGGAGCGAGACTAAATTTTGCATATACTCGTAAAGATGTCCTGTAGTATAGTCCTATCATAATAACAGTATAATTAATTACTCCACACTGACGCCACATTAGTAGTATCTACATTGCATCCGTGCGAAGCCGGGTCGGATCGCTGGTAGATTAATAAGTCGTAATATTCGTAGTATTTATGTATAACGAATAATAAAAGCAACTTAGTAGAGTGGTGATTATTTTACACCAACGTACTCCCTGTGGATATTAAGTGGCAGATATGGTTTGTTTGTTGTTTGCCCGGAAGGCTTATCTGATCGATAAGCAATTATTACATCCGTTCACAGCTTTAATGGAAGGGACATTGATTGATGTTTCTGTAATAATCTATTTAGTTTATCACTCCGACCTTACAGCCTCAAATGTTATGAATTGGCCGCTGCCTAATCTACAGCTGTCGACAAGGCTCCAATTATAACCGGCTGATGGTCTATCTAACAAAACCATTGAAGATACAGGTTGAATTTAAAAGGACTTTGTAGTTTAAATTATATTTAATCGAAAATAGATTTTAGTAGCATGTCATATCTGAAAAATTGTTGCGATTTTCACAGACAAAAACAAAGAAACATACTTCCATACCATCTGACGAAGACACACCGAATTAAGGAGTAATTACTCATCCTGCGT